ATTAAACAGTAAGGTATATAGAAAGTGCAGTAGCACCTTTAATGAACTCAATGCGGCAAGTATGTGTTGCCTAGGCAACAACCAGCCTACTTTACCAGAAGCATGAACTGGATAAGGTCATGCCTTCATTTATACAACCTGCTTTCTGTATGTGTAAGAAATGGTGCAACCTACATGAATCTTTACAGTAGATAGAATTCTGTGCAGCTGGAATACTTGTATATCATGGTATCGTCCAGAGCAAAGCCAGATAGATGGTTCTCCTATGACAGTGTTCAGTGCTTCTAAATAACAAGGCAATGAACAGGAGAACTGGTGTGCAGCCTCACTCTGGGGATGGAAAGCTGGTGTCCCAGTTAAAAAGTAGACAACTACAAGCAGAAGACACATCCTAGACAGGCTGGAGCTTGAGGTGGAACAGTAGACCTAGGCTGAGAATGGCTTTGTCTTTGGAGTGGATTGCTTGGGGTTTCCTAGATTATAGGTACCATTTCCACCCCACCACTACCCCTCACACAGAAGTGGCAGCATAAGAGATAATGCAAAAATCCAAAATGTTATTAAATACGTGATTGGGCAGAAAGATGTCCTCTCTCTGCCAAAAGCAGAAGCAAAATCAAAATCAAATTAAGATCTTCTAATGTGGGAAATATTATTAAATTTTCAATTGTTTTCAGTCACTTTGCAAATGATTAAATTTTCAATTGTTTTCAGTCACTTTGCAAATCGTTTCTATGGAAAAAGGCAGAGATAAAAACTGTCCAGTGTTATTGCAGGTGGTGGTGAGAGTGAGACACAGAAATACTTCTCCTCTGTGGGCACAATCCAGAGCAGGGATCCCTAGTTGAGTCCATCACAAAATGGCAGCCATGGGGGGGGGGGGTAGTCACATAATATGAGGAGGCTCCACAAAGTCCATTTATTGAGAGCATTTATTCACCATTTTTATCACCAAAGGGACACAAAGTTTATAACAATAAAAATGTAATATAATCTATAAATAAACAGAATAACCAAGTATATTGGGTTGGTTCTGAGCCCGGAATTCTAGAGGGCCAGCATATCCAAAGATCCAGGAAAGGAGCCACAGCCAACTGATTCACACTTTTCTAGCCATGCCCAATCATTAAGATTGCTGACAGGTGTGATGGAGTGCTCAGAAAAGCAGGCTTTTAAAAATGCTGTTTGGGGCAGAGAGTCAGGGGAGGTTATGAGTTAATCTTCCCTGGAGAGAAGTGCTTATGAGATTGGCTGCTCTACTTGCTTTCTGATTGGCCAGCATCAGTTTAGAGAGGCAATAAAACAGCTGATATGGAGGGAGAATTCATTCCCTTTTGGTCTTGGTCTGAAATCTAATGGATTCTGGATCAGTAGCCAGAGGGTTTGGTTTCTGAGGGAAGAGACTTTGGGAGTCGGTGGTTTCTGACAAGGCAATAGTCAGAAAAGTACTTCTACAGAGAGAAGCAGAGAAACCCCATTGTCTTAAATATATTGAAACTGCTCTGTGGGAGAATTTAGATTCTCTGTCAGGAAAGCTACAAAACAGCTTTATACAGACAATGGATACAGGAGAAGAATTTGGCAAAATGTCTGGGTAGTTAGAGAGAACTCCCATACAAGCCAAATAGTCAGGGCTTTTTTTTCTTGAAAAAGAGGTGCTGAAATTTTTAAGAGGAAAATGAAGCTTTCAATCTGTACACTGAAAACTCATGAACTTTTAAACATTTTAAAAAGAATTTTGTTGAAGAGGTTCTGGAACTCTGTTCCGGTGCATTCCCCCAGAAAAAAAAAGCACTGCAAATAGTAAAAGGAGTTATTGTTTTGTAGGGACAAGGAGAATCACTTCCTGCCAATGAAAGGGGTTGGGAAGAGAACCCTGGTCTATGATAAAGGGGAGAAGCTTAAGACACCTCAGGAGTTAGAGAAAAACTGAAGCTGAAAAAAGTTGACATTAAGTCCAAAGACTTTGAACAAAGACTGGAGGTAGTGGAAAAAGAAAAAAATCTCTGAGAGTCTACTTCTTCAAATGAGATTTCAAAAACATTCTGGAGCAGAAAGGAGAGAACTTGAAAGAGATTTTAAGTGAAGAGCTCGCTCCCGTGGTAGGCTTAACAGCGGAAGTGATACAAAGCGATATGGATATGGTATATCATACTTATCCAAAATTTATATATTAAAAAACAAGCTACCCAGGGAAGTATACGTGAAATTCTCAAGAAGGTCAATGAGAGACTCAATTTTGAAGGCAACAAATGGAATTGTCTTGAAAATCAAAGGAGAATAAAGCAAAGTTTTAAAAGATGTTCCATTTGAGATCAGGAAAAGAAGGAGACAATACAGAGACTTACCACTGTTTTTGCAAAATCATACTACCCCATACAGATGGACATTACTGGAAGGCCTTATCTTCAACTACAATGGGAAAAAAGAAAAGATTGACTCTGTTTCTAAAGCGAAAATATTCCTGAAGCAACAACAGAAAGTGAGTGACAGATCTGAGAAAGTGGAGGACAACAAAGATGCAGAAGAAGAAGAAGACAAAAAGGGGGGAAGTTGTGACAATGATGCGAACAGCCTGGCAGAATCCTCTGACCGGGAAGCAGAATTAGAGGCTGCTGCTCCTAAGCCGTTAAAAGTTAGATTGGATTTTGATAAGAAGCGCAGAGGAAAGATATAAGCAAAATAGAGTAACTTTGAAAGTCTGATGTTTATTATAAATTAATTATCTTAAAGCTAAGAAACACACACTATAGCCAAGCAAGATTGTGTTTGCTCACTTTATACTTTTATAGTATTAACTCACATGTATTACTATTTGAGTAATAGGGAAATGTTGATTATCTTGAATGTATGTATTAATGATCCTTGCTACTCGTAGTTTTAGGTTGTTCCCTTCCCTTGACCCTGTAGGATTGTAGACTAGAAAAAGCCATAAAATGTTTAAGAAATATTATTCAAGGAATCAAATTCCAAAACTGAATTGAAAGGGCAGTTTCAGTGCCTTGGAAGAAGGTAAAAATAATCTTCTGGAGCTCCTATCCAAAGGCCTGGCGGAAGAGCTCCGTCTTGCAGGCCGTGCGGAACTGAGAAAGGTCCCGCAGGGCCCGAATCTCCTCCGGGAGCTCTTTCCACCAGGTAGGAGCCGCCACCGAAAATGCCCTAGCCCTAGTTACAGCAAATTTAGCTTCTTTCGAGCCTGGAATTTCCAGGAGATGCCTCCCTCCCGACCGAAGTGCCCTTGGGGGAACATATGGAGAAAGGCGGTCCCTCAGGTAGGCTGGACCCTGGCCATTTAGGGCTTTAAAGGTCAAAACCACCACTTTGAAGTGAATCCAGGATTTCCTGGCTTTTCTCCCATCTTTCCCAAACCTGCTTTCCTGCAAAGATTTGGAAAATATCACAGCAAAGCCTGGATGGCGGCCAAGTGGACAGGGAAGTTTGGATTTCCCGTCTCACCCACACAGCAACCATTTTTCCTGTCCCTATTGCCGCTACAAGCTATAAGCTCTCCCTGCCACCTGGGGAATTTTTTTTGTTTTTGTTTTAATCAGCAATTGAATATTGCTATGTTGTTATAAGGTTATGTCAGTCTGTTCATCAGCGTCTTTGAATACCCAGCGTTCATTTTTTGAAATACGTCTCTATCCCATTTTGTTGCGGAGAGATGTCTTTCTCCTTATACCTCTGCAGTGAAAATGGCTACAGGAAAAAATTACAGCTGGGAATTCAGAGAACCTAATATGCAGACAATTGTAATGATATATGGATATTCGATTTCCAGTTAAAACAACAAAGAAGCCCTGATGCAGTGAGGAGGCGGTGCCTACTGCTGGAGGACTGGGGCAGAGAAAATGAATGAAAACCTGCCTGATGGAAGCCCTATTGCCACTACACTGTATGAGCAGCAGCAACAGAGAAACCTGTCCCTATATGGAAAACACTCCCTTTCTTTTAGGGAAAGGGGTACTATTTTGTTTCAGTTTCCAAATAAATGAATTTGTTTGAGGCTTCCAGCCCCAGAGATGTAAGAAAATCTGTGCCACCAAACTGAGGGTAAGCAGGCTTTTATTATGTGGCAGGGCATGATGATGTCACACTGAATAGCGGTATTTATGGTAATAGATTCAGGTAGGTAGCCATGTTGGTCGGAAGCAATAGAAGAAAGTTTTAGTCCAGTGGCAGCTTTAAGACCAACAAAGTTTAATTTTGGTTATAAACTTTCGTGTGCATGCACACTTAATCAGATATGCTCCCTCTAAGTTGTGGAGTCTTGTGAGCAAAAATTCTACTTTGTGAGTTACTGGCATTAAAGTTGTAAGCGAGCGATTTGGCTCCTGCATAAATTAGTTTGTTCTGGAGCCATCCTTCCTGAGCTAAGACAAAAATGTGTGAACCAGAGGCTAAAAATCTGTGAGCTAGCGCACACTAACTCAGCTTGGAGGGAACACTGTTTTAAATAGTGTGTGCCCCCCTCCCCTCTTTCTGGGTAGTCGTTGCTTCAGTTTTGATACAGGCATTCAATACCTGTTTAAACAGTCTCCTTTTCCATCTTCCTACAAAGTAAACATTTCTTCTTTTTTGTTTTTCCTTCATTCGGCTTCAGTTTTCTTTGGCTAGGCGCATAGCTGCACGACGTTCAGTACCATTCCTTGGACCGGGAGGACGCAGGAACACTATTGCGGCTCTCACTAAACAAATCAAATGTTCAGTTTCTTTAAAGTCACCTTCTATAGTCTTTTCCCTAAACGGAAGCACCCCTTTAATTTTTACAGAGTCCTCCGTTTTACCCTAACGGACAAAAACAAGCGAGCGAGACCGTATAAGAAGAGATTTCTGGGAAGAGTACTGCAGACAGAGGAGTCTCTAAGTCTTCCGTCTGCTTAAGAGTGTAGTTCCCGCGAGTCTTACCCCGCACATGGCGGATTGTAACAGGAACCGGAAGCATGGGCTATGTGGACATTGTCACACTTCTTTGAGCTCTACGAGAATAGAAGAGTCATCAAAGATGCGCGGAAGGTTTAATGTGGGCGCCATAGTTAGCCAAAGTGCGTGAGGCTGAGACCGACCAAGGTTTTGGTAAGGAAGAGCGCAGAAAGAGATGTGGAACTGGCTTTCCTAGGTTTACTTTGGCTTATGACTCCACTGCAGTTTATGGGGGTGGGGTTAGAGTAGTAGCAGAGACAACGTCATGTTTTTTATACGTTTTATTCTTCTGGACCCAGAAGGGATTCTAACTGCCTGCTTCTTTTCCTCGTGAGAGCTTACTTACCCGGTGATTAAGTAAGTAAGATCATAAGTAAAACAGATGTATGTGTTTGGGATCTTAGCCGTGACTTCCTATGTCCTCCCTTGCGAAAACAGCTGGGCAAATAAGTATAATGCGTACGTTCCTTTATCTTATCTACGTTTGAGTTGCTCTATAGAGAAGGCAGAGAAGGAAGATTTTCCAGAGTGTAAACTTTTGTGAGTCAGAGATCACATTGTCTCATCTTTGACTCAACAAGGTTCATATCCTGGAAAATTTTGTTAATCTTTAAGGTGTTACTGGTTTGGAATTTTGTTGTGCTCCTACCCCCCTGAAGCTGAGTTTATTTACTAATGATCTCTTGGTAATGTGTGTGTATAGGTAGGTTGTACATGCAAATAGGAATGCAATCATTTGTAAGTAAGTACCTTGGTATGTGTAGGTGTGTCTGTGTGTTCTCTCATTTATAATTGTTGGGGCAAAGCAGCAGCCTTGTCAAAGCAGGGTAATTCACAAGAGAGGGCAACTTTCCCCCATTTCCTGCTTTGTGGTAATTGCAGATCATGAATAGAACCGTATTTTAAGTGGGTTCATTCTTTCTGAAGCAGAGGCACGTGCATTGCCTGCATGCTTTCTGCTGAGTCAGATCATCTTGTGAAGAAAGGCTTGTAGAGAGTTTTTTGTTCTGTTAAAGCATCGAGAAAGGCCTCCACACCAGTGAGGCTTAGAGGCTTGTTTAGTCATTCATATCGTTGAATCTGTTCAAAGATTCAGGTTAGGTAATACTGAATCAATTGAATACATAATAAAATACTTCAGGAAACCCACATCCTATATGCATACTGGTGTAATCTTGCTAAGGAGTTCCTGAAAGTAAGCTATATTACTTTCAGGAACAGAAAATGCGGGGGGGGAAGCATGGCTATTCGCCCCGGAGCAAAATAATGCGTGGCTGCCCGATCACACGTCCCGTCGAGGTCCCGTGGTTAGGGGGTGAGGTGCCGATCACACGGCTATCCTGCAGCGCGGAAAAGAAGCGGTGCAGCACGATCACAGCAATCGCTAGGCGCCGCTTCTATGGCAAACGGGTGTTATTTGTACCGAAGTATGTGCACATGCGCCGTTGGGCGCTTTTGCGCATCCTGCAGAGACTTGGGGAAAAAACAACAACCCTTGTTTGCGACGGAACATCGGCGGGCGCTGGATGCCACGGGATTCCACCGGAAACGCGATCAGACGCCCGCCCTTGCCCTGCGGTGTCCGGAAACCAGTACCTCATAAGTACTAGTTTTTTACTCCGCATCTTTGGCAGAAAGCCACGGGTTAGCCACGGGAGCACTACGCTTCCCAGATGTTGCAGAGTGATTGGGCCTGGAAAATCTGCCTATCATCCGTATCTTTAGCGCGACAAATGCTCCGTGTGACCGGGGCCATTATTGTTTAAGTGAAGGATGCTCAGGAGTTGAGGAGCAATGTTGGTGCAATGAAAGTGTTTTTAGTAAATTGTTCTCTGTCTTGAAAATGATGATGGGGTATGGTGGGGGAATTGTGGTGTTGGGGTCAATTGTTTGACCCAGTCATTGAAAGATTGTTCTTGGTCCAAATCAGCACCGTATGTAATGCCTAGAAAGCAACTGGGAACCATGGAAGATACTGGAAACATAGTTGTTCTCTAAGGGATCCAACTCTGTGACGAGAAGGCATAATGCAGTATGTACTAGCTGAAGCTTTTAACTGGCTATATCACAGGGAATCCCATATAGGTGGCGTTAATTGGTTTTCACCATCCGGGGTGCAGCCCTTGGGGTGTTTTCAGAGTAGAAGCAGAGATACATCATGTTTTACATTTATGTGTTTGTGCCTTTTTGTTGCTTTAGGTTTAATGATGCTGTAAGTCCATCTAGTGTGCTGTCTAAGGATGCAACTTGTGAACTGGGATGCCCTGGTTTAAGTTTTACCTTAATAATGAGTGCACTAACAGTGCAGTCCTAAACAGATTTGCACCCTTCTAAGCCCATTGATTTCTGTAGACTCAGAAGGATGTAACTCTGTTTAGGATTGCAGTATAAGTGGCCTTAGGCTAGCCACAATCTTCCAGCTGAAAACCCTCCCCATCTGCAGTATAAATTACTAACATTTACCTACCTTATATTACCTTAGTAACTTCACAACCTTGTATGTGAAGTATGCTGCATGCTTGAAAAGTGCCATATGAATGCTTATTATTGGGTTCTTGCTAAAGCAACAAAAAAAGTGTATTTGGCTCCAGCCACTCAGTATTACTTGCTTATATTCAGGAAAAATGTTCTTAATGGGGCACAGTGTATAGAGCTTTAGTGTCTCTTGTCCCAGCATGCAAATATGTTGAGAACAAAAAATCTACTCTAAAGATTCCTAAGGCTTGAATTCTTTTGGTCCAGGATCTTAATCTGCCCAAAATAAGGTTAGTGGAAAAATCAAAAGTACCTCTGAACACTACTTCAGTTTGCTATTCTAGGAATAGCTACTGATCTAGCAGTATCCTATGCTGTTGGGTACTGAATCGCTTCACTGATGGGAGCTGACCACTGGACTGAAGAACATCATACTGGCTTAATTAATTTCCCAGATCTTGTCTTCTACCATGGACAGGCCAAAACCAAGATCATCTAAAGACAATGCTTAATTAAACTATAAAGTTTATTCCCTGCTACAAAGCAGCTGAAAAAATGCATTGAATAACATCTATAAAGAATAGCTGTGCTGGTGCCCATTATCTCTTGATAGATAACTAGAAATGCAATTTACGTTTTTTAGAGGCCATATGCTTCTGGCTACCAGATCCAGGCAGTGTGGAGATGGTCACTCTGCTCTGTTTGTAAAATTTATTGGGGCATTGAAGTAACTTTTGTAAGAAATGAAGTGCTTTGACCCAGTATGATCAGCAGAGCTTGTATTGACAGCCCTTTGAACTGTCGTAGTAACCAGACAGAAAGTCTGTGAAGACAAAAGTGCATGAATGAGCAGGTGTTGCATTCAAGAAAGCAGCAGTGACAATTCTAAACACATTGTACATTTTTTAAAGGTTCTATGGGACTTCAGATTTAAATACCACTTGTCTGTCAGAATTAGATTTGGGCTTGATCAGCAACTAGTAAATATCCCATTAATGCCAGTAGGACTTCTTCTGTGTAACAATGGTGGTATACACACCATTCATGGTTGCCTGAATTTGTTTTGCCGTACTGATATTATGAGATGTAAACAGTTTTTAATTTCTTACACATTTTCTTTCCAGGCTACTGAATAATGTTTGTTCCAAGAGCTGTTAAAGTCAGGAGGGCTGCCGCTGATGACGGGACCCACGTGGCTAAGAAAAACAAGTCTTCCCCCAATGAATCCTCATCTGAAGAGACCTCAAAGTTTAGGGAAGCTGAATTGGATATAAAAGAAATATCTGCCTCAGAAAATGACTCCCTTCCAGCGGAAGGACGTGCAGACCCACAGACTTCTCTAGGTTCACCTGTGGCAGTTATTGAAGGAACTTTGGAAAATGGAAACAATGAGAACTGTTCTCTTATAGAGGAGCCTATAAAATCGTTCAGTGGAACTCAGCGCTGGCCTGACCCTGGTGAGCCTGTCTGTGTGGTCTGTGGTCGTTATGGGGAATACATCTGTGACCAGACTGATGAAGACATTTGTAGCTTGGAGTGCAAAGCCAAACACCTTTTACACATTCAAGATACACGTTCAAAGCCTGCTGATAGTGACCAAGTAGAATCTCAGACCAGGCCTGCCTGTCTCAACCATACTTACATCTATCAAGAAAATGATTTTGTATTAAGCCTACAAGATGGGCAGGTTGACAATTTAAGACTCCAGCTTGGCATCACTGTCGAAGGTCAAGGAGTTGCAAGACCTATTGTAGAGTTTGAGCACTGTGGCTTTCCTGACATTTTAAACTGCAATTTAAAAAAATCTGGGTACGAAGTCCCAACTCCTGTCCAGATGCAAATGATTCCAGTCGGATTACAGGGCAGGGATATCATGGCCACTGCTGACACAGGCTCAGGCAAAACTGCAGCTTTCCTGCTTCCAGTTATAATTAAAGCTTTGATTGAGGTAAACATTTCATACCTATGCATTCAGAAATACTGGGCAAATTGTACTGTTGGATCCTGGGAATATTTACTGGTAAAGCGAGGGCCATTGTAGTCAAAGGGTTTTGCCCCAGGTAAGGGTACACAGGATTGCAGTCTTAATTTTGCCTGGTTTCTCAGTACAATTATTATTTAGTTGTCTTGATTAACTGAAATTTTTCAGTTGTAGCTTACAAACTGCAAGCCATAGGTGCTCAGGGATGTAGGTTTCTTTTGCATTCCACTTCTGCCGATAGTCTCTTGGGACCCTCCTCCAAAAGCTGAAGAAGCCTTATGGAGAAAATGGGATTGGGGGGTTACAATGAGGAGGGGAAGTGAGGCAGAATCGCTGCCTCCTCCTTCCAGCAAAGCCTGGAAGGTCTTGGAAGTTATAGTCATCCAGTCACTTTTATTTCTGTATTCAGAGGCGTATAATGTAGGAGGAGGTGTCTTTGGTATCCAGTGGTACTCTGTGTGACTGCCTGCTATCTTCTCTGTTGCCATCTGGATGAAAAGGTTGCTGCGCTGATCTGAAATTACTGCCCTGTTTCACCTGTTTTTAAAACTGAGAATGCACACAGATGAATCATCATTATTTGTATCCTTTGTAGACAGAAGCCCCATCTGCTCTTATTTTGACGCCAACGAGAGAGCTGGCAATACAGATTGAGAAGCAAGCCAAGGAGCTTATGATTGGTCTACCAAACATGAGAACAGTTCTCCTCGTTGGAGGACTGCCATTACCACCTCAGCTCCATCGCCTAAAACAAAACGTTAAGGTAAGCCACGGTGTGGTGAGATTCTTCTGTGCAGCGGCATCCAAAGCCAATTTCTTTGGAGTTTTTAGAGATTCCAACTGTTTTTGCACTGTTAATAATTTTAAAAACTTAATTTGTTTTCTTGATTTTTTGCCCCCTGTTTAGGTTATAATAGCGACACCTGGAAGGCTCCTAGAAATTCTAAAGCAAAGCTCCGTACAACTCCACCATATTAAAATTGTTGTAGTGGATGAAGTAAGTATAAATTGCAAGCTGAAAGAGCCTTTCTTTCTTGCTCAGACTCAGGGTAGATTATTTATCGTCCACTTTACGCAACATAAGAATATGCAGTCGAATAGTGTGAGACATCCAGTAAAACAGTGCAATAGAGTTACGCTTGCAAAAATTAGAAACAGTGCAGAAAAAAAATTCAGACAAGATGTGTCATGAACAATGAAAACTTGGAACTACAGCAGTAGAAGACAATGCAGTAAGAACAAGGTCATATATACAGTAATCAGTGAAAAAGACAACAATTCTGTTCCCTTTATAAAAGCACCCTCCATTCCGTTATACTACAGCCTTATTCTTTTTATAGAAATGCGAAGTTGCTTTCCTGGGATTACTTTATTTCTGCCCAGTGGCCACCTTCTACACACCCTGGACAACAAACTTTTGTTATCCTGATGTACCATGGACTTCAAGCACATGTACGGGTGTTTTTCTTAGATCAGTGCACAGAGAGCTCCGAATATAGTTTGCTGGGGCCTTGAAAGCTTTGTAATGCGACAATGATGCTCTGCTTATTATCAACCTTCCTTTCTTCATCCCCCCCCCCCCCAAAAAAAAGGTAGCTGAGAACTACGAGTGCTTGGTACTTGCACTCACTTCTTCCATGCCTGTGCTTCTGGGAAAGGAGGAGTGGCTGGTTTCGCACACAGTCCCAGAGGCTTGCACCTGCAAAGAGGCAGCAGCAAGAAGTGTTGGGAGCATGGGGTGCAGGCAGCTGCTCCCTCTTGGCAATGAGCCTCTGTCTAGCCTTTTGTATCTCTTACAGGCCTCTTAATAGTACTGACCTGGTTCTTCAAAGAGGGAGGTCGTTCTCTGTATGACTTTGCTTATATCACCCAAAATATCAAATATTTTGTCAATGAATACAACATTAGTATGTATTTCCTCAAGTCAAAAGTCTGTTTCTTAAAAGGAAAATCTAGTTCCAGTTTGCTTTTTTGCCCCTTACAGGCTGATACCATGTTAAAAATGGGTTTCCAGCAGCAGGTGTTAGATATTTTGGAAAATGTCCCGAGAGATCGTCAGACTCTTCTAGCATCAGCCACAATGCCTTTTGGCACCGAACAACTGGCAACTCGGCTTTTGCAAAATCCCGTAAAAATCACCATTGGAGAAAAGAATTTGCCATGCTCCAACGTTCGCCAGATTATCTTGTGGGTAGAAGAACCCTCCAAAAAGAAGAAACTTTTTGAAATATTAAACGTTAGTATCTATGGAAAGAGAACTTTTTTTGTTTTATGAGTTTTTGATATCTGGGGAGGAAAGGGGATGAGAAATGGTTATAAATCAGTTATTTATTTAGAATACTGTAACGCCGCCACTGTAAATATCTCCAAAGTTGGTAAGTCCCCATTAGAGAAGCCTAAATGGATCACAGTGGAACTACACTGTGCCTGCTCGCCGGATGGGCGGGGTATATAATAAATAAATACACTTATGCGAGAGGTAGAGAGAGCAGTTTCACTTCCTTCCCCCTCCTCTGTGTACCTCCTGACCCCCATGGCTGTTAGTCCACATGGGTCCAGGAACCCTGGGAAAATATTTTCCCAAGGTTAGAAAGGACTGCTGGTGGTGGAAAGTGTGGGGGGAAAAAAGGGCAACCATTAGCACTTCCTGCTGATGAGTCACTGGAATCCAACCCAGTGTTTAACTATGTAGCTTTTTGACGGTTGCATTGTCTAAGCAGACATTAAGTAAATAATTTGTATTTGCCATGGAAGTTGTCTGAGTTAGGTCAGGTATGATTTCAATTTGCAATTATGAGACCTTTTTGTTATAATTTTTTTAAAAGATTATACGGGAATAATTTAAGGGGAAATTAGTAGCGGTAATTATTTACTGGCAGTCAGCAAACTCTGCTGACACCAAAGCTTCTAACCAACTTGTCTTTGTGTACTTAGGATAAGAAGCTCTTCAGGCCTCCGGTGCTGGTGTTTGTAGAATGCAAACTGGGCACAGATCTTCTGAGTGAGGCTGTTCATACAATCACAGGCTTACAAACAGTATCGATGCACGCTGATAAACTGCAGACAGAAAGAACTACCATATTACAGGTATTACAGGAAAGATATAGATATTTGTGATGCCCTGACCCAGGCTAGCCTGATCTCATCAGATCTCGGAAACGAAGAAGGGTCGGCTCTGTCTGGTATTTGGATGGGAGACCTCCAAGGAAATACCAGGGTTGTGATGTGGAGACAGGCGATGGCAAAGCACCTCTGAACATCTCTTGCCTTGAAAACCCTGTGGGTTTCCTTAATTCAGCTGTGACTTGACGGGGGGGGGGGGAGATGTCTGTGATGCACTCGTTTTTTAAAGGATTTCTTTTTTTAAAAAAATTCTTGTGCTGATAGCTGCAAGTTTGCAATCCTGACTGAGGTGTACCACTGCTCTGTTCTGTAGCTGAAGGTCTTTGAAATACTAGTCAGCCAGGGAAGAGGGTTCCTGGAGTTCTGGGGCAATCTTATGGGTTGACAATTTAGTAATATTGATGGGGTGTGTGTGAAACTTTTTTTTAACTGTTCTTAAATATATCTGAGCATTTGAGCTGACGGCTAGAGAAGGAGAAGTCTGGAGAGTTCAAGTTCAGAGTACACCTAAGGAAAAAAAGCTTTGGGTTTTTTCTTTTCCATATTGGGTTGTTACATATTCCTAAATGTGTGCAAAATTGTTGGTAGCTCTTCTACGACCACTTTCATTTTCTTTGCAGGAAATTCTGTTGTATAACTTTGGGCAACAGTCCTCCAGGTTACATTTTGTACTGCAAAGCCACCCCCCCCCCCCCCCCCCCCCAAACAGAAAATTCTTGTATGAAAATACTTAGTAATGAATTGAGTACTTTTTCTCTGTGCCCTTACCTGTAACGAATGCTTATGTATTTTTACTAGGGATTATTGCAAGAGAAGTATGACGTGGTTGTAAGCACTGGAGTCCTTGGACGAGGGCTCGATCTGGTCAGTGTTAAGCTGGTCGTCAACTTTGACATGCCGTCTAGTATGGATGAATACGTACATCAAGTAAGTTTGCTTATTTCTGTTAGATGTTATGCAAGTGAGATCATACAGTTGGATGAATGAAAGGAGCTCGTGCAAGAAGATCTCCTTTCCTTGCAGAGGGGCCATAGCTCAGTGGCTTAGCATGCAGAAGGCCCCAGGTTCAACCCACAACATCTCCACATCAAAGTATCAAGTTGTAGGTGATGTGAAAGATCTCTGCCTAAGACCCTGGAGAGCTGCTGTCAAGAGTAGACAGTACTGACCTTATTGGACCAAGGGTCTGATTCAGTATAAGACAGCTTCACATGTTCACATGTCCTTCCCTTCGCAGCCGCTGTACCTTTCAAAAACCTGTGTAAGCAAAATGTACCACAGTGTGACAGATTATGGGGAAAAGGCTGAATTGGTCAAAATCACCACCCCTGTTAGTACAGTGAGTGCAGTTCTGAGGCTTACTCTGCCAGCAGATGAATGGGGGGGAGGCATGGATTTTCCCCAATTTCCCCCTTCTCACTGTAGCTTGTCTATGTGGCAGTGTGTTTTCCTCATTTATTTATTGGGCTGTATAGATTTATGTCCTAGTTAAATAATAGAATTAATCTCATAAACGCTGTAGCTTGTTTAGTTTGATGGTCTCCTGACCTTCAGCAGAGAAGGATTTGGTCCCAGGTGTCACTAGAGCAGTTTAACAAATTCAGGCTGCCATTCAGATATGTGGGGTGCTGTTTTATGCACCTTTGCTTGACAGCAGGGAAACATCAGCAGTGGTTTGTGATACAAACCAAGGAGAGTCTTTTAAAGTGCTGCAGAATCCTTCTGCTGTACATGTTCCTGCAGGAGCTTTCTTGGTTACAGTTCAAGAACATACTGATTGAAAACTATGAAATGGGAATACCAGGATGGATTTTAGACATATCTTGAGGAAAAAAATTCATTATAGAGGGATAATAATTTTTTCAGTAACACGAACACATTATTTAATGTGGCTAGAAAACAATATGAAAGTTTCCCTGATATTCATTTATTTATTTAACAACTTTTTATGCTACGTATATTTAGCAAATTTTATGATCTTCAAAATTATAACATTTTAAAATAATTTTAATATATGACAAACTATTATCTAGATAAAGAGAAAAGCAAGTTAGGATAGTTCCTGTTTGTGGTGGTGGCATTTTCATTTCTATCATTTCTTTCAATATAGTTGAGTTGGCTTTGTATGGGGCCCCGTCACTGAAAAATTAGAGGGCTTCACATCCTAATTGGTTGAGCAATTTAATTTATGGGTGCATAGAGGACTTTACATAACCTAGACTAAGGATAAAATGAAAAATAATGTTGATGGTTACTAAATGTTGAGCTTTTCATAGTGGCTGAAAGGAATCAAAGAATGTAACTGTCGTTATATGTTCTTTCCTTTTCTGTAGTTGTCTTTCTATCTCTATTGGAACTAGTATCATTATATATAAAAAAAGGAAACAAAGAATGGAATGTGGATTTCACTGAAGGAGAGCAACATTGCTCCTCCAGGAAGGACTGCATAATATTATTTTTATATAGCCATATATTAAAAATATATTATTTATATATATATTTTATATAGCCTTATATAAGTGATGGGCTTGATTCTGTCATTTTGTTCTATTGCTGCCTGTATGTTCTCCAGTATAAGGATCCTTTTGATAATACACGTTTGTACTGATGGAAGAAAGTTTGGTATTAGTAAAAAGGTCTTTACGCTGGTGGTATGAAATGGTAGGATCCAACCCGTCATCTTTATGTGCAATTGTTTTTAAATTGAAATCTCTGGTTCTGGAAGCCTGTACCTTCGTCAGATCGCCACTTCAAGAAGAGGAGACCGTTAGTTGCCCAATCTAAACTTTATTCTGATCCTTCATAACCTGATTCTGTTTTAAAGATAGTGAAATAAAAACAATTCATTTTATTGTATTAACTCAAAACCATAGAAAACAATAAAAACAAACAAAACAAGACTCAGTAGCAAATAAAATCCATAAAATATCCATTAGAACATTAAAATACATAATAAGCATTTAAAATATAAACTTTATAGCTAAAAAGAGCAGAATTAACAATAGCTTCCTATTTCTGTAATGAGTTATCCAAGGTAAAGCCAGTGTATTCACTGAAGCAAACTTGCACGATAGGGTTTTGACTGTATCTTTATAATCCGGGCTAGTGAAATAAAACACGCTATGAGACTTTTTATAGCTTTACAAGACACATATTTTGGCTGAGCTTTAAATACTTCTTGTTTCTTTTAGGTTGGAAGAGCTGGACGGTTGGGTCACAGTGGAACTGCAATTACTTTTATTAATAACAACAGTAAGAAACTTTTCTGGGATGTTGTAAAGCGAGTTAAACCAACAGGCACTATTCTCCCGCCCCAGTTATTAAATTCCCCATATCTTCATGACCAGAAGAGAAAGGAACAGCAAAGAAGCAAGCAGTCACAGAATGGGCTTGTAACAACCGATAACCTTGTGGACATAATTAGAAAGCATGACAGACGGGTTTCACAGAAGTAATGAACTGAGCTTTGTTTGTAAATATAATGCATTTGTACATCATGTTAATAAGTGCTGATTTCTAATTTAAATTAAAATCCCTGGATGCATTTCCGCCAAAGTGCTTACTGTTCATTTCAGTGAGTTTCTTTCATTTGGTTGTTGTGATTTCAGAATGACTATAAAGTTTGGGTAGTTAACGTGTTTGTCTATTTTTGCCTCTGGGGATTTGATCTGAACATGTTGGTTCTCCCAGTTAGTTTTGTTCGTATTCCAAATCCTTATTCTTTTTTAAAAAGCTTTCCTCTTTTTCATGTACCTGAATGAACTTCTTACTTTTGGCATGAAACAAGTGTTCCTTTTGAGCTCTGTATATGCCCAGATAATAGCCAGCTACCAAAGAAGTACAAGGGGGCGGCTATCCAGGGTCTTCCTGGAGGATGCTGCCAAGATGCCTGGTTGAATCAAAAGAGAGTGCCCCTCCCTTTCCTGGCTGGTGGCAGCTTAAGACTTATTGACCTCTGTGGTGGAGGAGAATCCTAGTTCCTTTCACCTGTTGCTTCTGATGTGAGGACAAAAGCCCCTTTCTCAGCTCACCACAGAGAGATGTGATCTAACTCAATAGGTAGGGAACATCATCTTCAAGTGTGGATGCCACCAAAAAATCTTGGTGTTTCAAAAGAGATGGGCCCTGCACTGGAGAAGCCTGCATGTGTACACTTCCCAGCCAATTGTTGATCCATCTTGTATCTTCTAATATGAAGGGGGAAAGAACACTGGTTAATTTATGTTATCTGTCAAGGCTCATCTGAATATATCCTGGTGTGAGGTGACAGCTCACTCACTCAACTTAGCTCTGAAGAATGCTAAGAGAAATGCAGACCTGGTAATTTCATAGCTGGACTTGCATACCAGCCTTGAAATCAATGTTCCCTCTAAGCTGTGTCTTGTGAGCAAAAATTCTACTTTGCGAGCTACTGGCATTAAAGTTGTGAGTGAGTGATTTGACTGCTGCATAAATTAGTTTGTTTTGGAGCCATCCTTCCTGAGCTAAGATAAAAAATGTGTGAGCGGGAGGCTAAAAAACTGTGAGCTAGCTCACAGTAACTCAGCTTAGAGGGAACACTGCTTGAAATGTGTGAAAAGTATTATGGGGAGCCTGCTGCCAACCTTCTACCAGCTGGGCTCAGGAAGAGGTGTATGGGTTGGGGAACCAATTCACATTATTGAAGAACTAAATTACTACGCGGTAGATGTAATCCTGAGTGTCAGGTCTTGCTCTTTTATAGTTACTTAGTTTGCCTGAGATGGGCTGAACTTCCTTGATGCCCTTCCTGGAAAACTCAAAAGTGTAGAAAAGGCTGGGCCACAAAACTGAATTCAATACTCCTGGCATCTAGATTCATTTTCCATAGTTCTTCCAAGAAGAGGTCTGATGAATGCTCCACACTAGGGCTCAAGGATGTTGTGGTATGGCTTGGAAAACTAAATGTGATAAAAGTGATATTAGTTTTTAAGTTGCCCAAGGTTGCTGTTTTTCTGTTTTAGGGACTTAAAGATGTAAAGTTTCTGGAAATTTTATTTAAGTATTTATACCTACTGTTCTCCATTTTATCTTAACAACCCTATTAGGGTTGTCAAGCTGAGACTGCGGGTGTGGGAGTAGTGTACGGTCACCTAGCAAGCTTTGATGGCTGAGTGGGGATTTGAACTTGGGTATCCTAGATCCTAGTCTGACAGTTTTAAGCATTGTACCCTGCTAGCCCATACTGGAGACATGGGGAAGTAGATGGAAATGTTTGTAAAAACTGAAATATATGTAATGAATGAAAGCTGAATTATCTTTTTCTGCTTCAAACTAATTGTGTAAAAGAACTGTTTTGTATGTTTGTGCAATTTAAAATTTTATTTAAACAACAATTACATATGCCCAGTTTGGATATGATATGAAACCCTGAGCTACCTAAATATATCTTACTTTTTGAGTGCTGGGAAAACAGGAAAGAAACAGAAGTTTAAAATAGAAGCTATCAGTACAGTAGTAAACAGAGGAAGTTCTTATCTGGAGTTGAAAAGTGTCTTCTCCATATAGTCCGTGGTATCAGGAAACAGAACAGTTATTAACAGAATCCTGCACTGGTGGTGGTGAAATGGGTAGGAATAAAAATCCCTCCTATTTTTTAGGATAATTCTGATGGTGGAGAAAAATGTAATTCTGTCTTAGGGATCAAACAACTGAAGTCCATGATGATAAAAATGAAAGTTCATAACTGATTATCCTTATGATCTTTACACTGTAATCCTAAAGAGAATTAAACTCTTCTAACTCCTTTGAAGTCAGAGGTGTTAGGTGAGTGCAACTGGGTTTAGGATTGCATGGATAAACTGGAAGCAGACATTTTTTGTTGTTGTTCAGTCGCACAGTTGAGTCCGACTATTCGCGACCCCATGGACCAGATCACGCCAGGCCTTCCTGTCTTCCGCCGTCCTCTGAAGTTTGCTCAATTTCATGCTCGTTGCATCTATGACACTGTCTAACCATCTCATCCTTTGCCGTCCCCGTCTTCTTTGACCTTTGACATTAGGTCAAGTAAAATTGTGTCTTAAGAGTGGGGGAGTGGGTCAGAATTTTGGTGACAGAGACCAGTGCCCAGACATAAACACCACAGAGGGCTGAAGGTTTTAGTTGCCAAGCGAATTGTTTTGTATGAAAAACTAAACACTTGTTTTGTGGAGACACCCAGCCTGAATTTGAAGGATGCTTCAGTAAATTCAGCTGGTGCTGTGTGAAATTATTAGATGTATTAGCTGGCTTGGCCAGATGAGATGCTGAGAGTTTCCCAAAGGGTGCCTTCCAGTATGTTTTAATAAAAAAATAAAATTAGCTGCCTGTGCTTGAGAATTAAACAGGGTTCTTATGTAGAAACTCCTCAGGTTTCTCTTGCCATGTTCATTTAAGTCGAAATTCGGTAGCCTCAGTATAATTGTGGCCCTTGAGAGCCAATTTCAGAATGTTCAAAATCTTATGAAACAAACACCACACTGTAGGAAAAACAGAACACTTCTGCCATATTCCATGACTACTGAAGTGACACCAGCTGTAGTTTCCATAGGGAGAAGCAATCGTCCTACTTTTTAAAAGGAAGTCAGGCGGATTTGACATGAGAACTGTTATTTTGTGCCTTTTGCCAGAGCACCAATACTTTTGCAGCGCTCCCCCTAGTGTTGAGTCCAAAGCTGGATTCCGTGAGTCTCCAGGGCTGTTGTGCACAACTAACCAAACTTTTTTTTTTTTTTAAGAATAAGGTTTATTTAAATTCTGTCAAAACAAAAGATTCTACAGGCAAAATCAATGGTGCGACCTCATTTGGAATACTATACAGTTCTGGTCACCATACCTCAAAAAGGATATTATAGCATTGGAAAAAGTGCAGAAAAGGGCAACTAGAATGATAAAAGGGTTGGAACACTACCTATGAAGAAAGGTTAAAAGCGCTTGGGGCTCTTTAGCTTGGAGAAACGACGACTGAGGGGTGACACAATCGAGGTTTATAAGATTATGCATGGGCTAGAGCAGGTAGAGACAATACAAGAATTCGTGGGCACTCCATGAAATTGCTGAGCAGTCGGGTTAGAACAGATAAAAGGAAGTACTTCTTCACCCAAAGATTGATTAATACATGGAATTCACTGCTGCCACGGGGTGGGGGCTTCGAGTCTTCAACAACAACAACAACAAAGCTGCATTTGCAGAACTCTTTTACCCTTCCCTCCCACGATACGAAAATTATGCATCTCTTCCTCCCCTTTCCCTGCCAGGGCGAGCAAATTAGGACTACCCTAGTAAATGTAGCAAAAAAGAAGAAGATAAAAAGACAAGCGCTACACAGAAGTCCTGCGTAGAAATGTGTTCTGTATTATTTTTCTGTCTTGGTAGCCCCGCACGTAGCCGCGTTTGGTTTGGAACCAGAAGTGTCAAAATAGCGACAGCTGCTTGCCTTCTCTTTTCTTTTCCCTCTCGGGGACGGTGTGTGATGTCATCGGCCCGTTCCAGCCAATGACAGGCGCCGGCGGAGTATTCGAACAGGGACTTAGAAGCGCTGCTGAAGCGTCTGGCTGTTAGTGGCTTTCTGAAGAACAGGTAGGTTGGGATGTGGGGAAAGCGCCGGTTCTGGGTACGCATCCTTTTTCTGCCTCGCTTTGTTGGAAGTTTCGGCATCCTTTACTTCTGAGATGGATTCTTCGAATAATGTTGAAAGTCTCCCACCATGAGGGGTTGCCCTGTATTTCCTGTTGTGGGAGCTTCCTTGAGAGGGGAAGGTTCAAGGTTGGCGTTGTATGTCTGAAAGTCACCGCTGCCCGCTTCTCCTTAATGTTTTTATAGTATGCTATCCCGCACCCCCCCCGCAAACATAAGACACTAATACGTTTCAGCCCCAAGGCATCTGACACATTTATTTCCCTCTCCCTCCTACTCTATTGCTAAATGCCTAAAATCGACGTATTATCTAAATGTTATTCCTTGTAATCCAAGGCACTTGGGGTGGTTTACAGACAAAAAACAAAGACGATTTTAAAGGACCAGCATTTTTTTAAAAAAAATTCATTAAAATACAGTCTGCAGAAAGTTTTTGTGTATGCTCTTAAATAACAGATGCTGGAGATGTTTGTGAGATTCCAGATATTTGCCTGGTTTTTATTGCATGAACTATGCAAGGATTTCTGTCTGGCCTAGCAACTCCTTTGTGTTCTAATTATAAGCCCTATGTGTCCCATGTTAATGTTACCCTGTTATGCCTTATTCTCTGCTCAGCATCTGTAATGGATTCATGTCCTCACCTTATCCATATTGAAATGGCAATGAAAAAAACCCCACCCTATCTGCTTCCCCTGTGCAAGCCCAAAAGGGTGTTTAAAGTAGTAACAAATCCATGTTAAGTAGGCATCTCTCCTAAGAAGCTGTGCATGGAGGAGGAGTGAAAGTGGTCTAGTAGCACCCATAATGTTTGTTAGTTGGTAATTCCTATGCCTCAAAACCTTGTGTGGTACCTCCTGGCTGATGCTGTGATATGCAGGCTCTGGAAGCATGTCCAGGTTGTTTAGTTAAGCCCTACTGCAGTGAGGCAGGATGTGTAACAAATAGGGTGACTTGGGAAGGTGGTAGGGGACAGACATGTACAATGGATGGACAATAAGCTGAGTGTTTGGTTGTCATGCAACACCACCAGTAGTTTTAACAGTACATGTGAGGGTCCTGATAAGGTTCTTTTGGTTGGTTAAAAAGGACTGTGAAATCAAAATGTCAACACTAAGTGGTCTCCTGAGATGTATTGAAATATGGTGAAACGATTATAGGGCAGTCATATTCTAGAGATGTCTGATCTAGCAAGCCCTGGTTGTAAAGATGGACATTGCCTGGTATCTCTTCTCTCCCTTTAGCCTGTAACCTTTGCATGAAGTAGGGAATCTGATTCTAATGCAAAATAGAACTGGGCTTGGCCACTTTGCACTGCCCCCCCCCCCAAGCTCTAGATGGGGAGGGCACTAACCGTCTAGAAATGCTGAATGGGGCTAGAGAGATTTTGATATTGGTGTTCTGGGAACTCTTCCTTGCAGATAGGTAGATCTTTACTCACTACTTCTCCCTGAAGCAGTGGTCCTAACCATTGAATTGTGGTTTAAATCAAGAGAAGAGAAAAAATAGGTTTAGAAAAATTGAAAAACATTCTTACTTCTTATCAGCATAATTGTGAGGCAAAGCATCCCTGGCCTCCCCCTCAAGAGTTAATGTGAATAGTAACTGGCCTGCAGGTGTTACTAATTGGTCTCTTATCTTCAAGGCCAGGGATGGAAGTAGCCATTTAGCTTCTTATGAGAACCTGTGGCCTGTTGGATGGGGGGGGGGTCGGAGGTGATGAGGTAATACAATGATTACTATTGTAATTGTATCCTAATGTTGTAACTCAAGAGTCCCTGTAGTGTATTCAGATGCTGCCCTGAATATGCTAGGATGAATGGTGAATCATCCCATAGAGAAGCTATGCTAAGCTTCAGACATCGGCTGGGATTCGCGCCGAAAGTATTGTGTCCAATCACATTTGAACTGTCTGTGGTGGGAACGTTTGTGATTGGGCTATTATGCGAACAACCTGATAGGTTGGAACTTGTATAGTAGGTGTGGCTACATTAGCCCGGAATGTTTAAATACCGAGCAGCTGAAATGGACAGGCTGTTCGGGCTATGAGGAGTTGTACCGTGTTGGAGAAGTTGATTGTCGAGCTGAATAAACCTGAGTTTTGCTGAAATCACTCTCTGACTACTTTGTTAAGTACGGACTTAACAGTCCCCCTCCCCATTTGTTCTTTTTCTAATGAAAAGGAAGTTTTAATTCTGTTTGGAAGAGAGTTATGAACAGAGATTTAATAAATATAGAATGTAGTGGGTTTTTTCCAGTTCAGATATCCATTTAAACGGAGTTATTTAAAAATGACAGTAATTGTTTTTTGAAGAAATCAAAATTTGATTTAAACTCAAATAAAAAAAAAATCTGTCAGGCTGGCTTTACTAAATGTAGATCACCAAAATATATATAAGAAAAAGACTTTTTTTTTAACAGATCTCATGGTGATACATTATAAAGAAAATAAGATTAACAGTCAAGTGCATTCCCCTGGAAAAAGTTTACAGAAGATAGTTTTGATCCTACAATTGCAGCTTGTTGGAAATGCCTATCTATATTGTGCCAAAAAGATGCCATACTGATGGTGTTTCTTCACAAAAATATTTCCCAGAGAGTGCCATTGTGAAAAGCAACAGGTTTGGGCCACCAGTTACGCCACAAACAACAGAAAAAGAGAGAGGTGCTCCACCACCACAGTCCCTGAGTGAAACTGAAGGAATAAATAGAACATATGTGATTTCTGCCTGCAATAAGTTGGGTGATTCTTCAGTGGCATCGACAAGTGAAGGCAAGAAGCTGAGTCTCCAAAGAAGGACAGTGACAAGCAAAGGACGCTTGGATCAGAATACCACACAGGACAGTGACACTACACAAACCCAAAGGCAACCAACACTACTACGGCGTCTGAGGACTGGATCAAATGAGCAATGTAAAATAAGCAACACACAGGCAGGTAGAACAGAAAATGAAGGTTCTTTTGCACAGAAGGGCAATGAAACTTTATTTCCACCAACATGTAACAGTAAAGATGCTCCACTTGTTAAAAATGGCCTTCAGTTTCTCAAAGGTTGCACAGAAATAAAGAGAAGTTTGGAACAGAAAAACAGTCTCCTTGTTAATCGCAGTGGTTCCCATGGTACTGGTAACAACGCTCCTTTGAAACGAAGGGCAGTTGGTACTAATTCACAAAACGAGGTTCTTAGTTCAGTGCTCTCAACAGCTGTGAAACTTGAAAACAGGACGTTAAAAGCGGCTGAAAAAGTTAATTCCAGTAAGCAAAATGAGACTGGCAGTGAGCAAAACAGGTCTCTGAAAAATGGAAGTTTGGAAAGACAGAAGACACCGAGGAAAGCTATAGCAGAAGGCATTAAATGTACAGCAAAATGTGGATCTCTTCAGGATGCCAGAAGTCCGGCTATCTCCACCACGAGGAGCAAGACAGCGTGTCTTCAAATAGTCTCGCAGAAGAAATCCAGTATTTCTAATCCTCTCACTTTAAGTAGTAGAAATGGAAGGGGACAAGAAAACAGCATGGACGTTCAAACTGCTTTGCTAAAAGAAGACGTTCCAATTCAGGACACATGTGCCAGAGATGACCCTTTCAAAATTCAAAACAGTAAAGTGATTGTGGCAGTAAGAGTGCGTCCATTCAGCATCAGGTCTGTCATTTTGTTACCATGTTTTGTCAGTGAGAGATTGCAGGCTGCCTCTCTGAAATTACATAGGTTTTTAGGTCTTTCTACCAAGAAGTTCTGTGGCATAATATTCTTTTCTAATGGTATTATCTCATGGTAGTGAATTTTCACGAGCCATCCTTTAGTATTTCATAGGCATCATAGCTGTACAAAGCTGGGGGGAAATGATAGGGGAAAAGCTTTTTTTAATCAGTATCCATGGGGAATGAGGGTTGCTGGTTAACCAAATATGCTTTTACATGGTAGAGAGAGCCGCAATGTCAAGTAGGCAGCCTGGTCCTCTGCCCCCTTGGCACTGTTGCCCTCTCTCTGCTGCTGAGTTGGGTCAGCAATGGGTGTGTCACACATTTGGCCATGCCAAGTGGCTTCTTCTGCCCAAAGGGCAACCCATACTTGGGCAGAAGGGGAGTGTGTGTGCCCAGGAAAGGCACCTTAGTGCCAGCCATGCCAGTTTAACTCCGTTCTTTAGTTAATTGAGTGACAGTTAACAAAGCTTTTACTGTACTACATATTTCCAGAACTGCTGTAAGATTCAGGATTTCACATTTGTAGTTAGTTCAGCCTTGAAAGATGTATGTTTAACTGAAGTATAAGAAGTGTGTTTCATTTTCTGTGTTACTATAATCCTAGAGAATTGTATCAAGTCTCACTGTTTTTCATTTATTTATAGCAAAGCCTAAACAGTTTTATTCTCATATGCTATCAAGCCTTTATGTCTCTGTAATACCTCAGATTTCAGTGCTGTTGGTCAGTATGTCTTGATGCTTGATTTTTCCACACTGTTATTTTATGTACACTTTCAAAGCTATTATTTAGGTCTATTTCAGGACAGGACATCATTGTCGGGAAATATGTTCAGTTTTTCGATAAATAATTTTATTTTGTGTCATATTCAGAGACATAAATGAAGAAAAGTTGCAAGTGGTATCCATGGCTGGACAAGAGACTGTCGTTCACCATCCAGACACAAAACAAGTGTACAGTTTTATTTTTGACTTTTCGTTCTGGTCTTTTGATAAGCATGATCGTAATTTTGGGAGCCAGGAGATGGTCTATCGGTCAGTGGCTGTACCTCTCCTGGAAACAGCCTTTGAAGGATACAACACCTGCCTCTTTGCATATGGACAGACTGGTTCTGGAAAGTCCTATACGTAAGTTGGATTGGCAATGCTGCATGCTTTTTATGTTTATGCTTTTGAAGTGATTGTTGAAATGCGACACTTACTTGAAATGACAGTATAGAGAAAATTCTCCTCAAATTTGTATCTGAACAAAAATGCATTAACTGAATGAAGATGCTTTGAGGACTGTGCTAGTTATGTTGTCTAGTCCTATGGGAACTAATGTAAACTTAAGGCTACAAAATTGAATTCTGAGCTCATATCTAACCTCTACCATGCACGTATGCAGTAGACTTTGGCAAGTTCATATCTGTCTGCCTTAAAGTGAAATACAGAGATAATAATCTTGAGCTTCCTTTGAAGGAATTCCTTACAGGGTTGCAATACGGATTGTTGAGAATATATGTGAAGTACTTTTGAAGGCTGTATGGCTGCCAAGCATTATTATTAATCACTCCAGTACTGCCTGCTAACAGCATAGTGTGGATTTAGATGAACAGAAGTCAGGACTTAACCTCTGGGAGGTGGACCCACTGCTGGACCTCCTGATGGCACCTGGTATTTTTGGCCACTGTGTGGCAGAGTGTTGGACTAGATGGGCCATTGGCCTGATCCAACATCGGCTTCTCTTATGTTCTTATGAGGTGACAGTCTGCAACTTCCAGCCATACTGATAAGTATGTCCACTTCTCTACAAGTGGCTACAGTGGATTTAGCCATGAGGGTGAAGGCAGCAGATTGCTTCTTTGTTTAGCTATTGGTCTGTTGCTTTCTGCTGCCTGAATTCCATGTACCATACCTATAAAGTTACTGTGGTTGCACCTTCACGGAATAACATACTATGGGTCTGTCTTGGACATATACCCAAATTTGATGTTGATATCAGCAGTTACGGGTTTCCATCAGAGATCCAGGCAAGTAGTTAAATTTTCCCAACAGGTCTAATTTTTATTTATTTATTTATTTATTCATTCATTCATTCATTCATTCATTCATTCATTCATTCATTCATTCTTTGGATTTGTTTCCCGCCCTCCCCGAAGGCTAATGGATCTGTCTATTCAATTTTTAATTCACTTTTCTATTAAATGTTATAGGATTCTGTGGGAAAGTTCTGCAGATTTAGCTAGAGGTTGTGGTTCATAGCTGATGATACCTGCTACATTGTAGTGCTAAGTCAGAGACATGTGAAAGGTTGTTCTGCAGAACTGTTTTTTTTACTGGTATTTATTTCTGTTTGTGTGTGTGTAATTGCAGCATGATGGGGTTTGATGATAATGAGCGAGGAATAATACCAAGATTTTGTGAAGATCTCTTTACTCGGATAGCAGACATGGAATCGCAGCAGGTATTTCTTCAGTATGTTTGTTTGAACTACCTCTTTTCCCCCCCTCGCTAGCAAAAGGAAAACTCTTGAGGTCCACTGTTGTTGTTATAATTCAAATACCTATAGGATTTATTCCCAAATTGTTCTCAGTACTGCAGGCTGTTGATCATGTTGATTTCTGTTTGGGGCTGATTCAGCTGTTAAAGATACTGGAAATAGATTAGGTATTGTTGAATACAAGCCCTAATCTTGGCATCATGTGTACCTCCTGCTATGAGCAAAATGTAACACAATCTGGGTGCGTCCACGAAGCACTCGATTTCTACATTTCTTTCACTTTCAAAAACTTAATGGGGAAAAATGGAAACTGGGTGGGGTACGTGGATGTGCATACATTCATGGTACATCACTGCGCCCTGACTGTGGTATGTGGAGAGCCAGGACCACATCTTACTACATGTAGACTGTCCCTGAATGTGAACAGACTTGTCACATATTTATGTGATCAGGTAATTGGCACAAGAAACTATTCTGTTAGTTCAGATCTTGCTTCTCATATGTTTATAATGCTGTTGCCTTTTTTTCTTCTTCCTACAAAGTTGGGGGGTGGGGCAAAATCACACTCCACCCACCCACTGAAATACTAGGAAGGAATCGAGCTATCAAAATCTTTCATGAGTAAAAGAGCAAAGTAGTAATGTGTTTTAGAAACATGGCACCTAACTGTCAGTCCAACTGTTTGTGTTTTATTAGACTTACCACCTTGAAATGAGCTATTTTGAAGTCTACAATGAAAAAATTCATGATTTACTTGTCTTCAGAACTGAAAGTGGACAGAGGAAACAGCCTGTAAGTTACTAGTCCTGTTCTGTATGTTTAAGTGTTGACTTAAGTGTGTTGTAGGAGATCCATGGTTAGGTTTTCTTGTTTTGTGGTTTTAACCAGTTTGCAACCCACGTGGCTGCTTTGAAGGTTGGAGAAATGGCACTGGGGAGAGAGTGTGTGGGAATTGCTCTGTTAGTCTGTCTTCTAACTGCAGGCCTGTAGAATGGTTTTTGTGTGTGTGTGGGGAGCAGTTTGGTAGGTAGAGAAAATAGCACAGGAGGAGGAAAGGATTATAATCTTGGATATTCTTCTCCACATCCCTGATATTCATTGTGGCTACATGAGGTCATTAGAACTGTAATTTTTTTAAGTGGTGGATACTAATTGCAAAATTCCCATTTAACCTCTAGTTTGACTCATAAGAGATTAGTGTAGAGCATCATAGCTTCAGGATATAGTTGATCTAAAAATCATAAGGAACTGGATTGTTGCCCTTAGGTGGGAACAAATCCTCATTGCTACATCTGTAAAGAGTCATGTGTTAATTTGCCAACTGCCTGGAGAAAAATGTCCTATCCTTTTCTTAGCAGTTTAAAGGAGAGATGTTCATTTATATCCTTAATTTAGATCCCTCCTCTCTCTCCACTGGGTACCCAAAGCGGTTTACAGCATTCTCATCTCCTCCATTTTATCTTCACAACTCTGTGAGGTAGATTAGACTGAGACTGTAACTCGTTAAAGATTACCCAGCAAGCTTTGATGGTGGAGTGTGGATCTGAACCCGGGTCTCCCAGATCCTAGTCCAACACTCTGTCCACAACACCACACTGATATTATCTACCTCCATGCAATGAAAGCTTCAGCTGGCCCATTCCCACACACTAAGTCTCTATTAAAGGGACAGGACAGTTTCCTCCAGGCCTGTTGACAGCCCTGTGGATGAACAGCTCTAATGTGGCTAGAAAACCATCTAAACTGCTCTAATTTAATGAGATTTCAGGGAGGAGTGTTTTTCTCTGCTCGGTTTTGTGCCAGTATCGTGTTCTTGTTGCATATTTTTGCTTTTAAAATTTATCCTAAAGCTTTCAGTCCGCATATTGCTTTGCCTGGTATGGTTCTTGCACTGACTAGTGTTGAATACACTTCATTTGTTAAAATAAAAGGAAGCCTTATAGTGTAAAAGTGGGTTATTTTGAGGATTTTCAAAAACCCCCCCCCCCCAATAATTATGTGTAATTCAGGTCTTTAATATACACTTTTTTTTGTCCGGTGAATAGCTTCGTGTAAGAGAACATCCAATCTTTGGTCCCTATGTGGAAGATCTGACAGTGTAAGTCTTTATGTTCTAGACATTCACAGATGTCTAAGTGTTGATTTCTAGTATGGTTTGTTAATTATAAACACTACAAGAAGCTTGCTGCCAGGGAATGGGCCAGTTATTTTCAGTCAGCCTGTGATCACACACATTAAATAATCCACTTTCAATGCACTTTTGCAACTGGATTTTACTGGCAAAATCCAGTTGGAAAGTGCATTGAAAATGGATTATTCAGTGTGTGTGATCACATTCTTGGGCCTCTTCCAACCAAACGATCTCTTGGTCATACAGTTTCTTTTCACAGCATTCTTTCTCAAAAACTTCCTGTCTTCCCTGTACTCGGCTTATTCACAAACATTTGTTTTCTCTACTCTCTTGGGCTCCTGTTTCTCAGTTCATTGCCTGCTCTCCTCTATACCTTCCTCCAGCCCTTCGATTTTCAATTTCCCTGACCCTAATCTTCTGTGCCTTTTTGTTCATATTCACGTACAGTATACTGCCCCCTAGCTTGTCCTGCATGGATTATCCAAGTCTGTGCTAAATGCATGTTTTCCTCTTTTCTCTTGGAAACTGATCTTCAAGGATCCTGTTGCTATTCATTTTCTGAGCAGTTAAAGTGTTCATGGTTGCTCAGTGATATAATAGCTTAACTTCACTGAAACAAGCGCAGTACACTATTTTATACATTCCAGTGAGTCTGTGAGGCGTAGATGTTCCTTTCTGTTTTGGGGATCTGGTCTGTTATACAGTTAGAACGGTGTGCTTAAGCAATCTGTGTTCTTACCCACTGACTTCACAGAATATATCAGATTTTTGCTTGTATATGTCAACTCTTCAATAAATAACTTTTTATTTCATTTTAGGAATGTGGTCACTTCTTATTCAGACATTCAGGTAAGTTTTTTTCTGTCTCTCCAAATTATGAACCTTCCAAAAGATATTAAAATATTTTACTTCTTCAAATAATTTCCAGGGTTGGTGGACTGAATATCATAGAATGATGTGCCTCATTCACCTAACATCTCCCCTCTTTCCATAGAAGTAAATATCTGATGTAGAAAATTATTTGCAGGACCAAAACCTCTGGTTCTATTGCTCCTCAAGTCTCTATGAGACACTATCTGTCTTTGTTTTTGTTTATTTGCTTGCTTATGTAATGAATTGCTGCTACTAAATACACTGAAATTGACAGAATACAAATAAAGTATGAAATCAACCGAAAACCGCTCAACACCGTAAGGGGGAATATCCACTAGGTAAACCTGTAAGTCATTTAGGGGCTCTCCTGTCTGCCCTGTACCTCATGGCCCCAGCAGAGGATGAAATACGGAGTGCTTTCTGGAGAGGCATGAATGGTAGAGGGCTAGCCACCATGCTGTCTGGGATGTGGTGTCAGTCTTACGTGGTAGAGATGCTTGTACTTGATTTTCTGGCATGGCTCAGAAGACTGGTCTATGCATCCAGGGCTGGAAGGAGTACATTGCCCTCCAAGCAGCTACAGTTTTCAAATGAGATGCGTGTTTCTTGTCAGAATCTAGATAATCAACAGTTACGTTTTATTAGCTCATACTGTGAAGTTGGGTTTTTTTTAATACTTGAAAGCTTTGTGGCATTTAGCCTGCTCTCAAAACGCTTTTATGTTATATCATATTTGTGTTATCAGAGTTGGCTCCAGCTAGGAAATAAACAGAGAGCTACTGCTGCCACGGGCATGAATGACAAGAGTTCTCGGTCGCATTCCGTTTTTACCCTTGCGATGACGCAAACGAAGGTACCACGTAGCTGACTAACTTGTTTTTAATGGCTGAGTAATACTATATGAACTGAGTAGCAATGTAATTACTTTTGTACAGTCTAGGGAAGAATGTATATCTCTCCTTATATATATATTTGAGTTTTCGTGTCCCTCTTGCCTGAACGTTCCACACGCCCCCACAGCCTTTGGCTGCCTCTACCAGGGGCCTCTACCCATTGCTGGCTGCGTTGCCTCAGTCCCAGCCTTCCCTTTCATCTCGCACCACGATGGAGGATGACGAGGTTTCTGCTGGGATGGAAGCAAAGCTGCACCACTTGAAGCAAAACCTCACTCCAGCCTTCAATGGGCTGCTTACCAAATAGGGGGGGGGGGGGGGGGGAGGAAGCGCAGCCAAGTCGGGAGCCCCCTTTCGTTGACTACGCTGCCTGTCTGTCCCTCACCCACCGCTGGAGCGCAGTCTCACAGCCACCCCCCCGCATGGAGCAACGCCTGCACAGACTTCTTGCCCCTGCCTGCTGCTTCCCTTTCCTCGGCCGCCTGCACTCCCGCTTTGCGTCACGCCACTTTTGGGGGGGCATGAGCGGGACGCCACCAAGGCGCCTCTGCAGCCAACGTGAATCTCCTCCCGGGCCAGCCCATCCTGGAAGGCGCCACTTCTTTGCTCGGAGTGGCCGGCCTTGGAGCGCGCCTGGCAAACTGATGCTAAAAAGACTCCTCCAGCTCTGGCCACTTGCCCACAGCCTATTTCTAGAGCTCGTTGTCTCCATTTCCACAACGGGCCTTCTTCCTAGTTTTAAATAATGTGTTGCCTTCCCCCCTCCCATTTCTTAAGGGGAGGGCAGGGTGTTTGGGAGTAACTGCTTGGTCCTCAAACATGGAAAGTACCGCATCACTACTGACAAAAGAGTGCTGTGTCTCACAGCTTGAAATGATCATATTCTTTTCCTTTTAAGTTACTAAATGACCAGAGAAAAGTTAAAAGTGGGTGCATTTTTTCACTTGTTTAAGTTAGTTCTGCTCACTGTTTATGGGGACACTGAAAAGACTGAAGAGATCTGCTTTAATTATTCTGCTTCACCTGCAGTTATTTATTTATATTCTATATTAGATATTTGTTCATGTCTTGCGGCTCTCAAACATCTGACATTTATTCTACGTGGCTCTTAACGTTAAGCAAGTTTGACCACCCCTGGAATAGAGGATAGTTTTGGGGTAGTGGTTAGAGTATTGGACTGGGGAGTCCCGGATTCAAATCTTCACTAAGCCATGAATCTCAGTAGATAACCTTGGGGCAGTCTCTAACCCACCTCACAGGGCTGTGAGAATAAAATGGAGGAAGGAAACATGACACACAAAAATAATGCCTTCAGCTTTTTGAAAGAAGACTAGGATAAAATTGTAGTATAGGCAGGAAAATAGGAGGGGTCGATCTTGCCACTCTTCATGTCCTGTCTGTCAACAACAGTGACTGTTGTGCATATGCGCTTCACTCACACTACTAAGAAACATCGCATTCAGCAGAAGTTCATACAAGCCCTTGCTTGATGGGTCAGGAAAGTAATCCCAAAAACCCAAAACAACACCACCAAAAAACAGAGAACTGAGCTCTGAAGATGTGTGTCCTGTCACATATGAATTTCTCCCCCTCTCCCTCCAGCCCCAGAATCATTTTGATGGTGGATGACAATGCTTTCTACAGCAAAAGGAATATGAAGGGGAGTCCAGTAGCAACTTCAAGTCTAGTAGAATCTTAAAGATCAACAAAGATTTCCAGGGCATAAGCTTTTTGTGAGCCAAAGCTCACTTTGTCAGATACAAACAGGAATCAAGATTCAAGGTCAGAAGGTGGGAGGGGTATTGCAAAGAAGGGCCAGTTGGAGTAAGGATGCAGATGTACAATGCAAAAGGTAATCAGCTTGATTAGAGCTGGGAGATATGCACAGAGGTGGGAACTGCAGAAAATTAAGCATCTGTGATAAGAAACCTATGTCCCTATTCAGTCCTGGAGGGGGAGGAGTCCATTGTCTTGAACTTGTTGGTGACAAGTTCAGCAATCTCACATTGTACTCTCCCTTTGCAGCTTCTCTGTAGGATAACCGCTAGTCTTAAGTCAGCAATGGAATGTCCTGGAAGATTAAAATGTTGGGGAGTATACGTGGAGGGGAAAATATAGTCTCCTTGTAAATTTCCCTGAGTCCCTGTTTAACTGGCTTTATGTTGAAATCCCATGTGCTCTTTGATCTTCAGTGGGTCTTATTGCAGTCATTCCTTTGAAAAAGCTACACTCCTTATTGACATTTAACAATGGCTGGGTGGGGGGCATGTTTGATCTTCTAAGGTGAGTTATGTGTACCGGAAAGCTGACAGTATAAAGTATAGAAATTTTTAAAAACCAGCCTATTTAAAAGATTCTATACAAAGAACATAAAGGTAGCATGTGCTTCCTAAGGATATTATTGTTACCCTGTCTTTTGAAATGACAGCGTGGTAAGGGGCTCATCCTTTCCCCCCCTTTTAGGTAAAAAGAGTATCTCCAATGATTTCTGGCTTTCAACACAGAACTACAAATTCAGTAGAAACGTCTAACTACGGCTGTCTCCTTGCTTTAGACCAATATTGTGGGGAAGGAGGAATGTGAACATCGAATTATCAGTCGTGTGAATCTAATAGATCTGGCAGGCAGTGAACGCTGCGCAGCATCTCAAACCAGTGGAGACAGACTGAAGGTAAAAGTAGGGGCACTGTATGGGGCACTCAGAAATTCACAGGATCACATGAAGCTGCCTTACACTGAGTCGGACCCCACTGGTTTGTCAAGGTCAGTATTGTCTGCTCTGACTGGCAGCCGCTCTCTGTGTTTTCTGGCGGGGGGGTCTTCCAGACCTTAAAAAGGCCTGATCCTTTTAACTGGAGATACCAGGGACTGAACCCTGGAACCTGCTGCATGCAAAGCAGCCGCTCTGCTATTGAGCCGCGGCCCCCTCCGCAGTCTAATGACGGGCAGCTCTGCAATGGAAGTGCTTGGTCTCCATGTTAAGCATCCTTTGCTGCGGAATAATTTGTGCTGCTGAACTTGCAAGATGAGTAGAAGCCTTTATGCTAATAATACGGAGCTGCCACATACTGATCCGAGAACTGCTCCATCTAGCATTCTGTTGTCTGCTTGCACAGGCAGAGCAGCCCTCCAGGGTGCCCGGCAGATGGCACTTCTAGCTCTGCCACCTCAGATCCTGTTAAGTGGAGGTGCGAGGAATTGAATCTGGGGACCTTTTGCATGCAAAGGTGTGCTGCACCACTGAGCAGTGGCCCCTGTTGTAAAGTCCACTGTATACACAAGCAGGTACGCATCATCTGCAGTGATAATCTGGCATGCCTCTTATTACGACTGTAGTTTCCTTCTTTTGATCCTGTTTCTATAACTTAACCCCCCAAAAAACAAACAAACAAACAACAACCTGTAGGCCAGCTCAGACACTGGAAAGGCTTACTGTATGGAGTTACCTGAGTGCCCTTGAGATATACATTCCCATCTGAATGGGCGAAGTAACGTCTGACCTGACCCATCGCTTATTACACCCACAGCCTCTCAGCAGCAATTCCCTTGAGAGGAGTAGCTGGAAAATGTGGTGCTGTGATCCTGCAGGCTGATGCCAGGCACCTGTGGCTGTACTGAGGGACATGGCCAGTTTTTACTGCAGATCTTGTTTGCTTACATAGCAGATTTTAGAGCATGGTGGCTCCTGTAGGAAATATATCATTTGTTTAGCACCTTCCCTCTAAGTAAGCTTCAAATACAGGGGTGGGGGAAAATTACCCTGGGTTTAGTTTATCGCCCTACTCAACAAAGTTTTGAAGGCTTCCTCTGATGGAAGAGGCTGTTTCACTGAAGGACAAGCTGCTTCCGTCTGCGAAAATGTAGAGGAACACTTCAACCTTTGCTGCGCAGAGTGATCGGAAACAAGGCTCTGTCATTTTTAAACTCATTGGTGGCTTTTGATCCTATCTATGTAAGAAGCTGATAAAACAAGTGATTTCCACTATTGGAAGGCCTCAATCACATTTAGAAAACTTAATGTGAGATGTGATCCGCAATTAAATTAGAATGGAGATGATTCTCCCCATGTCTCCAAGCTGAAGAGAGTGCCGAGGTGGACAGCTCTGGTTTGGTACAATACTAATTGGACATAGGTGTGGTTAATATGTCTCTACTTAATGTGTCTCTACAGCGAAAGAGCCATAGCTGTGTATGGCGTGACGTGCCAGAGTTCTAATAGGCTTGGGGTTCCAACAGTAGCAGGGCCCTAGAGAATGTTTAGGCTAACAGCATTTATTCTGAAGAACTGCTATCAACCCTGCTTGTAGAGAACCTAGATGGCCAATATCATTAACGTATGTCTGTTTTTTCTCTCTCATTTGTATAGGAAGGTGTGAGTATTAACAAATCCCTGTTAACTTTGGGGAAAGTTATTTCTGCACTGTCTGAGCAATGTCAGAGCCGGAAGAAAGTGTTCGTTCCCTACCGTGAATCTGTACTTACATGGTAGGTGCACATCTTTTGTGCCAGAAGGCATTTCTAACTGGCTGTACTGAATTATTTCCAAGGCATCCTGGGAACATTACCTATGATAATTCAAATACTGACTCCAGGGGTTTGATCCAGCTCTGACTCATTATTGTCACATCACGTTTCCCCCATTTCTTTCCCCTCTTGTTTATCTTGACTTGTTCTTGGCAATGGAATCAGACACACAAAAGTAAGGAAAACCTTAGGTATTAACAACGGCCATGGTTTTTCCAGGCTTTTAACTGTTTGAAACTCTGTTGCTTTCCATGGGAAAGTTAAGGAAGGGTTTAACAGTGCAATCCAGTGTATTGTTATGGCAGTATAAACCCATTGTGCTTAGACTGGAATAAATGCATAGAATTGCCCTGTAAGTTTCTTCCATTGAAATAAATGAGATGTAAAAAGTGGTTGTGGAAAGGAGTAAAATGTGTTTATTCCTGTGAATAACTGCAAACTATACAAAATAAACCTGTACTTAAAATGGCTCAGTTTAGCACTTAGGGCTGGAGGTAATGAGTTTTAGATATCTAACATACAAACATAACCTTGTGAGTGGTATAAATGCGCCCACCAGGTGCAAAACTTCAGGTGGAAAACACAACTAATTTGTAGCCTTTCTATATGGTAAAAAAAACAGAGCTCCTAAAACATTTGGCATGAAACTTAGAAATCAGTGGCCCTGCATCAAGTTTTGTGTGACTCCTTCCCCCCCATACTTTGAGCCAACACCTTTTTGCAAGGTATTGCTTCTAAACCAGAGGAGCAAATTGCAAAATACAGACGAGTACGAAATAGAACAGATCATATGAACTGGCTAGAGCCCACAAATGATAAACAGTGAGTACATTAAAACATTCTATAAAGTTATGGGACAGTGCTGCTGACAGCTAATGATGTAGCAGGGCATCAAACTTCCATGCACAACAGAGATAACCATGTAATGTCCCAAATACAAGAGCTAACAAAACCATACAGAACGTTGATGTATATCTCCGCCATAAGGACAGAAATGATTTTCGCCAAGGATAAAATATCCAGTTCAACTAAATTGTATGTCCAACTCTCATCTACAAGGAATTAAAAGCATATAATATATCAAAATAGAAATTCAAGAAGTAGACGTTGAATTCGGGCAGTGGCCATTAATAGGCTTTTAATAGTTTGCTGGCAGAATACCGTTTTGGAGTCTTTGTCAGATAATTATCAAGCAGTCCCTTTCAAATTGCAAGGCTCCAAATCAAGAATTCTTGCTCGTCTCCAACGTGATGCAAGGTTGCAGCTGCTGACCCTGTGGTATGATGAACCCCCTAGGGCATGTGTCCTTTGAGTGCTGGGAAGGTGGGGGAAGAGGCACTGACTGTCTCAGAAATGCAGTGTTGCTACTGGGCATTCTGTTTTCAGCTTGGATTGTGTGGTTGCCCAAGCAAGTCCATGGGAAGTAGCACCACTTGAATTGAGTGAATTTTGCCCAACAATCCCATATCACTTTTGAGCCCTGCTGGCACTCAGCCTTCCCAGTGATGAAAGTAGAGGGAATGTGCAGGGCCTTCTGCCTAAATGCCTCTGGGCACCTCTGTTTCCCAATCAGTGCTGGAATGAATTTGAAGAGTGGCATCAAACTGTTCTTTTCAATGAGGAAGAAGCAGCAGCCCCCAGAATCTGTGTTATCACACATGCCTTTGCTTGGTCCTCTTTTTTTGGTATCGAGGGGATTCTTCAATCCAGGACATGGGGGTGGGGTGGAGGAGCATACTGTCATGGTTGGGAATTTCCATCCCCTGAGCTGTTTGGGAAGAAGCAAGGCCCCATGGGCAAAGAGACGAGGCACCCCTCTTCTCATCTCAGTAAAGCATAAATTCTGGTTTTTTTTAAAAAACCCATTCAGATCAGATAATCATCTTAAGAGTTAAAATGAACAAACCAGACTAAATACAGACTGAATTCGGACTGGGGAAAAGTCACTGTGCCATTATTTTCTTCCCAAATTAAGGTTGCTAAAAGAGAGCCTTGGTGGAAATTCTAAAACAGCTATGATTGCCACCGTGAGCCCCGCTGCCAGCAACGTGGAGGAAACGCTGAGCACCCTTCGATATGCCAAGCAAGCTTGTTTCATAATCAACACTGCCAGAGTAAACGAGGACAGGAATTTTGAATGCCAAGTTAATCCAAGGTGAGCTTGACACACTATGTTTGTTGTGTAAAGTTTGGGCTGTTTCACACCTTCTGCCAAGACAAACTTGGGTTTGCCACAGTTTGTGCATTCAGGAGGAGAGGTCAGGAGGAGGAATGCAGCTCATGAACAAACCTGTGTAGTTGAAATCCCCAGTGTGATAAAACTGACCTGATGTATAGCCAGCTTCAAAGGGGGGGGGGGGAAATCTAGCGGGGTCATCACTTGCCTGTAGTACTAGAGGTTTGCTACCATCTTAAAGCTGGCTTGCAGTCAGTTGCAGCTGCCTGATAAAAGTGTGTTCGTTACACATCTTTGCAACCACATGGTTTTTGTATTAATATTTCTCAAGTTTAGTATACCCTTGGAATGTCTTAGGCATGTGTTCTAAAAACATAACATGTAGAGTAATTTAAATATTTTCCCCTAAATTTCCAAGCACTTGGCTTTGTTAAGTATCAAGATTGAATCCTTACACTGCAAATAGTATAGTCTCTATCCTACAGATTAAAATCTGTGGGGCTTAAGTATATATAACTCTGTTCTGGGATTGTGGGCCGGTATAATCCTGTTCTGTAAACTTGGAAATAAGTGCCAGTGAATTCAATTGGGTGTATACTCTAGGGAAGAGTGCTTGTGCTTGCAGCCTCGATGTAAGAGGGTGATCTAAAATAAAAATTGCTTTATCTTTCAGTTTAGTACTGTATGATTCGTCAACCAAAAATAATATTGGTTTTAATTTAATGGATTTTGTTTGCTAGATGAATCTTCATATGCTTCATGCAACTGTTGCTGTTTTTTTTAAATAAGCCAAAAACATTTGTGGATATGTTTTGATTAATTGCTGTGCCCTCTTGGTCAATGTAGAATTGAAAACTGAAATTGAGAAGCTGAAATTGGCTCAGAAGAACGTGCAGAATATCGACCCTGAGAAACACAGACTTTACGTGCAAGAAATAACCTCTCTGAGGATGAAGCTACACCAGCAAGAGAGGGAGATGGCTGAGATGCAAAGGTTAGATGTATTTTCCTGCTCTTCTGAATATTACATCCTGCTTGAGTTTAAGTTATTTTCATTCCATGAATAACATTTTTCTTTCTGATCTGTGAAGGGCCTGGAAAGAAAAACTTGAACAAGCGGAAAAAAAGAAATTTGAAGAAACAATGGAGTTACAGGTACTGTACTTCAAATGGATTCAGGTGTTGATTCAAAATAATGGGTTGGATACAATGATCTGTCAGTTGAAGGTGCAGATGATTTTGGACATTCCCGTATTCTCCTCTTCCCAGTAGTCCTTCCAGACCCTGTGAAAGTTTATTCCTGGAGTTGCAGGACCCACATGGGGCTGGAGGCTGTAATGGGGATACAGTCACCCTTTCAGCTGCTTCTGTCAGGGCAGCTCCACTGAAGGAAGCAGTGATTTCTGTAGGTCCCACAATGCTGGGAATAAACTTTCCTGGCATCAGAAAGGACTGCTGGGTGGAGGAGAACACAGTTAAGATCCTTGCATCTGAGCGTCACTGGATCCAACCGAAAGAATGGTGATTAAACTCTGTTCTCTGTGTTATGCTCCCACAAACAGCAAGGGAACAGACAGTTCAATTTTCATTGTGAGATTCTCTTTGTAAAAAAAAAAAAAAGCCCCTGACTTTCTGAATCCTTCCTTTTAGAAAGCAGGCATTACCTTCAAGGTGGACAACAGTCTGCCTAACTTGGTCAATCTGAATGAAGACCCCCAGCTCTCGGAGATGTTGTTATACATGATAAAGGAAGGGCAAACTACAGTTGGGAAATGCAAGCCAAACTCAGATCATGACATCCAGCTTTCAGGAGTCTTGATAGCCGATAACCACTGGTATGTGTTTGATCTAAAGATATACACTTTTTCTGGATGAGGAGAAATAGATTATTGCCATAATGCAGCGCTTCTGACCACGTAAAAGAAATGCAGTTCCACTAAAACAAATGCATGGCAACCTGTTTAGATTTACAACTGAGCCTACTGCACACTTGTTTCCATGTAAATCGGGCAGAGTTCAAACATCAAAGTGCTTTTTTATCTTTGTTGTGTGATGTAACTTTTTAAACTACCCTAGCCACTTCAATTGCTATGCTGAAGTATGGATAACAGCTAGGATCCAAAAAGCTGTGCTGCTACTTTGCTGGCTCCAGGGCATCTGTAGATTTCTCAAACAGTAGCTGCACCTCCACACTGAGCCGAGTTGTCACAGCCGGTTGTTGTGATGTGGAATGGGAGTGAGCTGTCAAATGAAAAAAGAGGCCACTCACCTCTAGATCCTAGGTGACTCATGTATTCTAAAGAGGTCAATACACATTTCTTGTTTGTTTGGAGTTTTGTCATAACACTTGAAGTTGCCTTCTACAAAGTGAGCTGATTGGTCCATCTGGCTCGTTAGGATCTGCTCCGACTGGCCAAGTGGTCCTCTAGGTTCTCAGGCAGGACAAAGTGTTTTCTGACGTGTCACCTCTGAGATCCTTTAACTGCAGATAACACTGACTCTGCGAAGGAAGCATGTGCTGTATCTGTGAGTCCCTCCCAAGAAATGTTTCTTCTTTACAGTGTTATCAAACATGTGGAAGGTGCCGTGAGCATTACCCCACTGGGAGAAGCAAAGACGTATGTTAATGGAAAATGCATTTCAGGTCCTACATTCCTGCATCACGTAAGTGGACTGGAATAAGTGCACGTTTATGTGTGTTGAACAGATGGGAGATTTATGTGTGGATTTTGAAACACTGACTCTAAACTTTTATTTATTTTTATTTAAAGCATTTCTAATGTTGGCTTTACATGAAGGTGGCAACCGTTTCTGACATTAATGCAAATACATATATAAAATATTTAAAACACTTAAGTTGAAACATGTAAACACATAGGCACACAAACTTGTGTGTTGTGTGCTGATTTAAGATGGTTAGTAATGAGATTAAGTTAATTATGGCACGTTAGTGAATAAACTTCTGGGTTTTACAGGGTGACCGCATCATTCTTGGGGGGAACCACTATTTTCGTTTTAATCATCCGCAAGAAGTTCAGAAAGTCAAATGCATTTCTCATGGTGCTTCCCTGCATGAGGAGGGTCCAAAGGGCTTTGAATTTGCAAAAAATGAACTGCTGGCTGCACAAAGGGCTGAGTGAGTATGGTTAGATATTCTGGCTTCAGTGGAAACTGCATATCCTGTCTGGCTTCTGACACCAATATTGCATGCCAGTCTCTGGAATTTTGAAATTAGGGGCATGGAAATCAGATTCTGTCATCTATTGACAATGTTGTCAATAGGAAATACTATTTTGAATATGTAAAACATGGTGTTATATTTAATAACATACCTAGAAATCCAGCTGACACTGGAAAATTTTGTGTTCCACAGTTATTCAGCTCCAGTGATTATATACCTAATCTGTAGTTTCTTTTTGAAGCACAAGCAAAAGTAGATGTTAAATGGCACTGTGGTCATAATACCAAATGATCACAGAAGAAGCTTTCTGCAAAAATGACAGCATCGTTTGGTCTGTCACATCCTTCTTGGATTATATGGGTGCCCATCTGCCAGAGAGCAATCATGTCTAATTTTGAAAAAACTGATTCCATCCCTGTTAGAAAACTAGTGAGATTTAGAATGAAGGTTAAACTGGTAACCTTCATTCTAAATCTCACTAGTTTTCTAACAGGGATGGAATCAGTTTTTTTCAAAATTAAACTGGTTAAGGTTAAAAAGGTTAAACTGGTAAATGGAGCTGTGGTGGCTCAAGTGGTTAAGACGCTGAACTGCAGGCTGTGGAAGGTCAGTAGTTCAGCAGTTCGAGACCCGGGTGCCGCAAGACGGGGTGAGCTCCCATCTCTAGTTCCAGCTCCTGCCAACCTAGCAGTTCGAAAGCAAGAAATTGCAAGTAGATAAATAGGTACCACTTCGGTGGGAAGGTAACAGCGTTCCGTGCGCCTCGGCATCTAGTCATGCCGGCCACATGACCACGGAAACGTCTTCGGACAGCGCTGGCTCTTCGGCTTTGAAACGGAGATGAGCACCGCAACCCTAGAGTCAGATTCGACTGGCTTTTGAGCAAGGGAACCTTTACCTTTACCTTTAAACTGGTAAAAGGTAAAGATCCTTAGGAACATTTTTAAAATATGTGTTAAATTTCTGGTGAACATATGGGAGTTGGGAAGAGTATTTAGTGACTGGACACTACATATATGTAGACTTTGTGTTTGTCTGTGTGTGTTTTGTAAAAACTGCTGTTAAATCGTGTAGTCAGTGAGGTATAAATTAGAGCATTTATTTTGCTTGTGAAAATACTTTTAGGCTGGAATCAGAAATAGAAGAGGCACGGCTGAGAGCAAAAGAAGAAATGATGCAAGGAATCCAATTTGCAAAAGAAATGGCTCAACAAGAACTTACTTCTCAGCAAAGAAATTATGAAAGCCAGATAAAATCACTGGAGGTACAGCTGGTAAGTCACTGCTACACATTTATAATAAATGGCCTTGATCCCAGTCTTCTTGCATTGTAATTACACTGGAGTCCAAATTTGTCTGTCACATCTCATAATCATCTGCGTGGTCTTGCAGATTTTAATGTGTAACTGTTGCAGTGTAGATGAGGCAACATGTTTAGATGCATCTGCAGTGGCTGAGCATGCCAAGGTATGCCTTGCTGGTTGGGAAAGAATATATAAATATGTCCTCTGCAATCTTTCATGCTCTTTTCTTACCTGTCTACCATACGGTTGGAGTTGAATGGAGAGGAATATTTGTACATCCAAGGACTTGAGTGTAACTGAGCTGTAGACTGGGCTGGTAGTGAATACCAACTGTTGTTTTCTTCCTTCCTTCCTTCCTTCCTTCCTTCCTTCCTTCCTTCCTTCCCTAGGTTCAGAAAAAACAACCCTGTTATAATGCACTCCACTCAAAAACCTTCATTTCCCATTATGTCAACTATTCATCCTGCAGACTCTGGGTTTTGCAGTCTTTTGACAATCTGCTATTTTATACTGTTTCTGTTGTACTACTAATCTAAAATGAATGAAAGGCGATAATATACTGTTAATTATCTCACAGATAAGTAGAGATCAGAAATCTTTTGTGTTTGCCATTGTGTTGTATGTTACTGACTCTGTGTTGCTCCACAATTTGTGATGGAAAAATTGAGGCGGTAAGTATTTCCTCACTTTTTAATCTGTCTGTTTTAATCACTGAAGTCCTATAGTGAATAAAATCACATCATGAAACCTTTTTTATAAAATAACTGCCATATAATAAACAGAATCAAATGCTCCACTGACACTATTAGCACCGCAGTAAACAAAACAATATTTAATGTTAAAATATGTGCCACACAACTGGAAAGTCTTCAGGAGTAGGAAAACTATCCAAAATGCTGGACTTAGACAGTCTTCTCTTGGGATGGTGTAACAATGTTGGGGGGAGTCACAGTATCTTGGCCAGGTTCATAAACAGTGTGCAGTTTCAGTGGCTAGTCTTGTGGAATACTGAAGGTTCATAAAAGATTTCATGAGTATCCTCATTTTCTTCCCCAAAAAGGAAGCAAAATTACTGGCTGTTATGGTGAAAACCCTGGGAACATGATGTTGATAATAATGGCTTCTTAACAGTGTGGAGAGAATGAAGAAAACATGGCAAGATCTGATTCTAATGATGTTTGTGATACGTTTATATATTGATAGAACATAGAATGTAACTTGCTCTGGGCAATGGCTTTGATGGCTTTGTTTTATAGAAATTGCTGCGTACCAGTCACAGCATCTGTTTTTCCTAGGAAAAAGAATCACACAGGAAACAACTGCAGGAAATGAATAATCAGATGGCTGCAAGCAAAATCCAAGAGTTGGAAAAAGCGAAACGAGGCCTTGAACTGGAGGTACACTTCAACAAGAAGCGCTTGGAAATGGAGACACTGGCTGCCAGAGAGGTAAATTCTTTCTTTTAAAAGTGTCCTGTCTGGTCAATCAGACAACCTATCCTGATACAGTATTACTACACTGGATCTATCGGTTCCATCCAATATGACTTCAGTAAGTGTCCTCAAGCTCTTCTTTCCTAAAACCAGCTGCCATATGGGAGAGGGGAGTTTATGTAACATGAGTGCTCTGGTGTGCCACTCAGAATTAGGCCACTGAAAGGCATATCTTGAGGGTGCATCTGTGCAATGCAGGATATTTGGGAATGTACTCGAGGAAGATGAGACATCTCTTTAAAATTACTTTAAGAAATGGAAACACTAACAAAAATAATATTCATCTCTCCATATGAATTTAGTCCCAGAATAATAATTGACTGTTTGACCTCAGTTGCATGTATGTCTTTGGTAAGAATAGTACATTTCTAATATTTAAAAAATGCTTTTCTCAGTCATATCAAGGTTCATCTAGCTGCTGGTGGTAACGGTGTTCTGTTACCAACAGCAGCCAATTGAATGGATACCTTTGGAAAGTCATGATCAGGGCACGAAGTTGAGAGCCATCCCTTATTTTTGTTCAGCATGTGCTATTCAGAGGTTAGTGCTTCAAGTTAATTAAAACAATAATAATTCTGAGGCTTTCCCCTGTAGCCTTGGGTTACTGAAGGAACAGATAATTTCAGGCTTCGTTTAAGTACAGAATCTTTCAGTGCATCTGATTTCTAAGGTGTGTGAGCAAAGCAAGGGAACTAACAGAATTGATCTCATTTACATTGGACAGTTAGTATTAAGGAAAAATGGATTTAAATGTATGATAGCAGTAGCATCCCCCCCTTTTTTAAAGTATCCAGTTTTTTCTGCAAAGGTCATAATCATTGTTTTGAGCTAGGCACTAGAAGATCATACGATTCGTCATGCCAAAATTCTTGAAGCTCTGGAGGCTGAGAAGCAGAAAATTGCTCAGGAAGTACAAACTCTTCAGCAGAGTCGTGGAAACAGAAATAAAGGTGTGGTCATATATAATACGGAGTTACCTGTATGGTGGTTACATTCAAATATGTGTTAAGGGCTTTATAGAACTAGCCTTAGTTCTTCTCTGCTGGTCTCTTCTCCTTTTGCTGGTCTGTCTTCCAGCAGATAGAAAGCAAGTATGTAATAACTTTCCCCTTCCTGTATGCTTTATTATTTTTACTTGGAGGGAGGGCAGCACTTTTGTGTGTGTTTTATTCATTTAAAGAATTTAAATCCCACTGAATCAGTCAGGATCACTATGGAGCAAGTAACCCGTGTGGCAGGAATTGCACAATATGCCAATAGAAATTATCCCCCCCCCCTTTACTTCTACAGTTCCTATTAAAAACATATTTAGATTGCAAAGGGACAACACAGGGAGTTCTTGTGTATACACTGGAACTTCTAAGGCAACCCAGGGAAAGTTAGCTCCCAGAATGGCATCTGATGCAGTGTTAGGGGAACTGTAGGGTACATTCATTGGTTGCAGTGACACAGAGGGAGTCCCGGATCTTGCTTTGTTTAGAAAAACATTTTTCTAATTTCTGAACTAGGTGTCACATATATGACTATGCTGTGCAGATAAGGTTGACAGCATTCACTGTGGCTCATAATTTCAAGGTTTGTCGGGTCACTGAACTGATTACATAATTATCAGCTGGTAATTTAACAAAAACCTACCCCAAATTCTGTTTCTTTTATGTTTAGAAGAGCCGAACTGGAGTTCTTTGAAACTATCCATGATGATCAAGGAGGCCAACACTATTAGTAGTAAATTAGATAAGCACACTGTTTTTTGTAGGTAAGTAATTGAGTTAAAATGTCAGAAGCTATGTTATCAGTTGATGGTTGTCGTTGCAGTGTCTTTTAAATACAGGAATCAGTTAAAACATTTCAGGGAAGTACATGTTCTTTAAAAGTGATTTTGATGTTTTGGAAGCAAGAGTTTGATGAGAATCAGTCCTGGCACTCTGAATATTTCTTTTTTTAAACGAAAAGCCGCCATAATGTTCTTGGCTACTGAAAGCCTTTTTGTTCCAGTAACTTTTGAGGAGTTCGGAAGGTCTGTAGCTCTTCAGTTCAAGACCCTAGTGCCGCGTGATGGAGTGAGCTCCCATCTCTGGCCCCAGCTCCTGCCAATCTAGCAGTTCAAAATCAAGAAACTGCAAGTAGATAAATAGGTACCGCTTCAGTGGGAAGGTAACAGTGTTCCATGCGCCTCGGCGTTTAGTCATGCCGGCCACATGACGACGGAGAAGTCTTCGGACAGCGTTGGCTCTTCGGCTTGGAAACGGAGATGAGCACTGCCCCCTAGAGTCGGATTCGACTAGCTTTTGAGCAAGGGAAACCTTTACCTAGCTTATTTAAGGTAAAGGTAAAGGTTCCCTTGCTCGAAAGCCAGTCGAATCCAACTCTAGGGTTGGGGTGCTCATCTCCGTTTCAAAGCCGAAGAGCCAGCGCTGTCCGAAGACGTTTCCGTGGTCATGTGGCCGGCATGACTAAACACCAAGGTGCACGGAACGCTGTTACCTTCCCACCGAAGTGGTACCTATTTATGTACTTGCAATTTCTTGCTTTCGAACTGCTAGGTTGGCAGGAGCTGGAACTAGAGATGGGAGCTCACTCCATCATGCGGCACCCGGGTCTCGAACTGCTGAACTACTGACCTACCACAGTCTGCAGTTCAGCGTCTTAACCACTTGAGCCACCGCAGCTCCTTTATTTTAGCTTATTTAGCTGTGTGCAAAATACTTGTTGCCCACCCCCATCTTTTCAGTAGACAAGGAACCGCTGTGATGATTATTCACCAAAACAGTAAATACCTGTCATTCCCATGTTTCTTTTACCAGGCATGATGAAATGAATGAAGGCCGTGGCAAGGGTTCTCCTCTTCAAGTGCAGGTCCGTAACATCAGGCTGGGAGTTGCAACTTTCTGGAGTCTGGAGAAGTTTGAGTACAAGTTGGCTGCAATGAAAGAACTCTATGAGGTTTGTTTAGGAATTTTTAAAAAATCCTTGCCTTCTAATATTGCTTTTGTAGGAACTCAAAATTTTGCATGTTTGAACTTAAGCTGCTTCAAAGAGAGACTGTGTGTGTGTGTGTGTTTGCACATTTATTTACAATGCATATTCCACAGTGAGTGATGGATGTAGCATGTGGTTTATGCGGCATTGTGAATGAGACTCCCCTCTCCTTGTGCAGCTTGGGAAGATGTGCAAGAGATTTATGTATCTGCTTCCAGTGCTTCTGTATCATGTCTTAGTCTCCATTTATGTTTTATTTATATGCCTGCTCATTTTCCAGACCTTTTGGAAGTCTGCTTATTCTAGGTTCCAACCCATCTTTTTCCAACCCTTTAATCCATTTACATTTCCCACTTACCTGTCTATAGCTGTTGTGACTCATTTTTTCCATCTGGTGATTCCAGGCAGACACAGACAGCTATGGCATAAATAGTCAGTCTAGTTTCACTTTTCTTGCTTGCCAATCTGGTTTTGAAAACAAGATGCATTTACTGTGGTAGTCAGTGCTCCACCTGCTGTCTGTCTGGTGTTATAGCAACTAAATTCCAAATCTTGGAGTGCAAAACATTATCAAGGTCTTTTCTTCAGCTGTAAGAGCGAAGAGATGAGCTGTTTCTCTCACTCCTGCTGTGTATTGTGGAGGCTTTGATAACAATGTTCAATGATATCATGAAACAAAAGTGCCTGATGTCCTAAACTTAACCGTAAGGAATTCTGAGAAAAGACGTCTGAATGTAGTAAGGGCCCTTCTGATTTAAATTTGTAACGATTAATGTGCAAATAGTGTTAGTGGCTACTTTTTAAAAAATTATGTAAATGCCTTGTTAACTGTAAGGAAACTGGGCTTCTTTTCGTTACAGACCAATAATAGTAACAAAGCTGACGAGATTTTTTATGATCCCACGGATGAATGGGAACCTGATCTTTTGAATGCGTCCATGACTTCTTTTTCTAGAAGGAGGTAAATAATTTCCTATATTAATTTTAAAGCTGATTTTTGACTTGGTGCAAAGTCTTGTAGGTTATCTATGTATACTAATGATCAATGGAAAATATAAATGTGGATGAGCATTTAGGAGAGAGCCAGGGTGGTATAGTGATTACAATACTAGGCTTGAAGACCCAGGTTCAAATGTCTGCTCTGCAAGGGAAGTTTACTGGATGACCGATCTAATTTATTGCAGCAAGAGCCAGTAAAACAGTACAATTCTGATATGAGAAGGATTAAAACAGTAATAACATGGGAATAGTATTAAAACATTAACAAAAGAAAGTTAATAAAATTAGTAAAATAGAATAATGTTAATAAGAGAATCATACAATCTTTTCAGCTAAAATAAGTTTACGTTTCCTAATAGCTAAGCAACAAACCTTTGCCACAGCATAAGTCACTGAGCTCTGAACGTCTTTTAAGTTAGTCCAGTCACATCCTCTCAGCCTAACCTACCTTACAGGATCGTTGTGAGGGTAAAATGGAGGAGGGGGGAAATGATGTAAGCCACTTTGGGTCCTGATTGGGGAGGACGGCAGGGTATAAATGAAGTAAATAAAATTAATAAGTAATAAATACTTGCAGGTTGTCTAGGCTGGTAATCTTTGATAGCCAGCAGTATTTACATTTGTTCCTCAAAACAGATTGGGACAGATAGGAATAGCAAGCATTGCTATAAAGTCGTTTTCCGAAAAGAATCAGGGAATGTCCATGGAGAGTATTGCACTAAGATGGCCAGCTGGGTATCCTATGTATAGGGACAGCCATGGTTGCTAAAACTTCTAAGAACTCCTGGCATTGTTGGAGAATTTTGTGTGTGTGTGTGTGTGTGGGGGGGGTTTTGGAGCCAATAATGAAAATAGGTTGGATACGACTGGCTTTTCCTTTGGCACAAGAGAGAGGAAAGCCCCCTTTTTCATCTCCAAATAGGCCATGATGGGGATCATGAGACTTGAAAGGACGAAGAACTGTGGGGGAAAAGCTGGCAGGACCCAGCCCAGTGCAAATTAATAAATCCTTCTACATAGAAAGATAAATGTAATGAAGTTTGTTGGTGAGTTTCAAAAAATGAATAGAAGTCTGTCTTGTTTTTTTTTCTGTTCTCAACCAAATTCCAGAAGTAGAAGTTTGAGGAAGAGCAAACGAATTTCTGGATGTTTGTCCGAGGTAAAGCTGAGTCTACACAATCCATATTTACCAGGTGTGTGTGGCATATCATGACATTCTAAAGCTGTTGTGAATCTGACACCTGGAGACAAATCATATTTATAGGGAGTGGAATTCTTTGAAATAATCTGTCTCTCTCAAGACTGACCACTAACAGTCTTTGAAGTTAGTGCACTTTCTTGATTAAAAATAAGGATTTGCTTATGTTTTGCCATTTAAAAGATTAGGTACGGAATCTATTACTGTATTGGCTTCATTATTCATGTTTACACACACACACACACACACACACACACACATAAACAAAATTTATATCCCACCTTTCTGCCCTCATAAGGGCCATCAAGTTGGCTAATGAATTAAAACATATGTAGTAAAAATCACATTTTAAAGACTATTAAAAACAGCAACAGCAACCATTATTAAAACAACACCAGAGCTAAAATACATACAGAACATAAAAAAATAACAACAAACATTGGGCAGGAAGGCGGGATCACTGAAAGAACCTTAAATGAAACAAAGTCTTCATCTGCTGACAGATGATAATGGAAGGGGGCTGATGAGTCTGCCTGGGGAGAGAGTTCCTGAGTTTTGGTGCCACTACCAAGAATTTATGAAGTTGTTATGTTATCACAGGCACAAGAAATACATTGGGCAGACCGAGTTTGGATCCACCGGAATCATTTGTACCTGGTATCTGTAAGGAGCTGATAAGTTTGGCGCTGGATGTTTTGGAACAGACTCATGAAGAAGAGGAGAGCGTGGCACAAAGTCTCTTAGCAGCCTTGTTCACCGTTTATGCTGAAGTCAGTGCCATGACACATGCATATGAAGAAGCTGAAGAAAGTCAAGAGAACTGTAAGCTCCACTTTATTGACAAAGCCCATTTTCCACTGCTTGCATTGTTGTATGTGAAATCGCCTGACACAGGCCACTGGTCCATATAGGACTATTTAGTCTGGCTGGCAGCAGCTCTCTGTTGTCTCAGGCAGAGGTGTCTTCTCAGAGCTTCCAGAAGCTGCCAAGGAGTGACCAGACAAATGCTTCCTCCCCTTACCCCCCTTCAGAAGATCATATGCAAGATGTTTGGTTAGAATGCACATGCTGCTACTGCTGTCTTCTGTGGCATCTTCCCTGGTTCTTTTAACTAGAGATGCTGAAGACTGAACCAGAAACATTCTACCCACAAAAAAATGCGCTGTAACACTGAGTTATGGCCCTCTTGCATTCCACTTTTCAATCTTCTCAGAATTATTGACAAATGATTGGAAACATTTCTTTCTCCTCTCTAGCCCTTTGCCAAAATAACTTGTCTTCTAATTGATTCTTCTTGTCTGTGTTTAGTTTTCACTGTGGACCAGGCTGCTCAGTCCTGCAGCATCAGAATCGCTTCTTCCTTTGAACAGCTTGTGGTTCTAAGCAAGCAGTGGCTGAGCGGTTCCCGAAAAAGCGAGGAATTTATGCACACTTATGACAGACTAAGGGACGGCCTAAAACAGTTGGGAGGATACTTGCAATTGCTATTGCAGGTGAGGCATCTCATTGCAGTTTTCTTTAAAAATGAAACTTACATTGGGAATGTAGCCTGTTGTATGGCAAAAATATCACAATGTTCTGTTGATGGTGCTGCTATTTGCACTATTGTTGTATACTGTTATCATGGTGGAAAGGCGCATAACTGCCTATGCTGAATCAGACCCCTAGTCTATCAACGTCTGGAGAACCAATTTGGTGTAGTGGTTAAGTGTGCGGACTCTAATCTGGGAGAACTGGGTTTGATTCCCCACTCCTCCACTTGCACCTGCTGATGTGACCTTGGGTCAGTCACAAGCTCTGGCACAGCTGTCCTTGAAAAAGAGCAGTTTGTGTCAGAGTTCTCTCAGCCCCACCCACCTCACAGGGTGTCTGTTGTGGAGAGGGGAAGGGAAAGGAGTTTGTAAGCTGCTCTGAGACTCCAAGTGAAGGGTGGGGGATAAATTCAATCTCTTCTTCTTCTTCTTCCTCCTGACATTTAGGGCTATTCCTCAGTAGAACAGGCTTCCTCAGGAGGTGGTGGGCTCTTCTTCTTTGGGGGTGTTTAAGCAGAAGCTAGATGGCCATCCGACAGTAATGCATATCCTGTAAATTTAGGCAGATCATGAGAAGGTGGATGGGTGGGAAGGGATGAGCCAGTGCTCAGCTCTTGTTGCCCTTTCTTACATGTCCAGGGAATTGCTGATAGCCACTTTAGGGTTCAGGAAGAAATTTTCCTCCAGGTCAGATTGGCCCAGGGATCGTGGAGGTATTTTGCCTTCCTCCTGGCATAGAGCAAGGGTCACTGGGGGAGTGGGGGGTAGCTGTGATTTCCTGTATTGTGCAAGGGGTTGGACCAGATGACCCTGGAGGTCCCTTCCAGTTCGGTGTTTCTAAGGTCAGTGTTGTCTGCTCTGATTGGCAATGGATGTCCAGGGTCTCGAGTGCAGGACTTTCACAATCCCTAATCCCCCTCCCCCAATCTCTTTAGCTTGAGGTGCTGGGGCTTGAACCTGGGACCGTCTGTGGATCCTGCCACTGGGCCACGGCCCCCGAGACCAGCCTCTGAAGGTGTACTGTAGCAAAACGTTTCTTAACAGTTATTAATTCTGTATTTTTGTGTCTCAGGGCGGCTGTTCAGATTTGTCTTCAATAGTCACAGAGGCACAGAAGAAAATAAGGCGCACGCTGAAAGAAATGGTAAAATGCATAGGACGCCTGGTGGTACTTACAGGGTTGGACCTACATTTTCCAGCAGGACATAACGGTGATGCGAGCAATCTAAAGGTAAAACAACGTGTACTTGAAACATCAGGTTTAAGATGTTTCTAGTAGATAAATCCAAGAAGGAAAATTAGTAAGATGTTAAGCCGTGATCACTAGTTTGAGTACAAGCTTCCCTCAGCTGTATTTGGAATCAGCTCAGTGCTTATGAGCTTTTTCTGAGAACTCCCAGGGGAGAAAGTTCATTGGCTGTTGAAGTTGGTTGCCGCACCATCATTTCGCATTGTCAAGACCAGCTCTTCCAGAACGTCATCTGTCTTTTGTACGGTGGGTATGCCCCGGAAAGCCTTCTCGGGGAAGGGAGTGGCACAGTTCCTGAGTTTTCCCCCACCCCAAATAAGCAGCAGCCTGTTTAACCTACTGACAGAGTAAGAAATGTAGAAAGATTGTTCTGTGTTCCCACTGTCCGGCCAATGGTATATGGCTGTGATGGTACAATGCATTCATTGAGGGGAACAGTTTTAGCTGGTGCTGCTGCAACTTTTGGATCTTTTAACATATTTTGCTTCAGCGTGTGCCCATGATATGGGACTATGTGAAAAACAATTAACTATCCTGACTTTCCAACAATAAGTGATCATTCTAAAACTTAATATGGTTAGTTAGCAAGGGATTCGCTCAGACATCTGAGCTTCAGGTAGGTAGACATGTTGGTCTGCAGTAGAAAAGTGAAATTTGAGTCTCATAGCACCTTAGAGGCCAACAAGATTTCCAAGGTATAAGCTTTTGAGAGTCAGAGCTCTGAGGAAGGGTCCTACTGGGATTCAGTCTTGTATATGGAAGAAAGTAATCCTAGTTTAATTCAATGGGGCTTACTCCCTGCAAAGTCTTCTTAGTATTGAAGATTTCCTCCCATAAATAAACCACTCCATACAAAATCAGGACCTAATCTAGGTGAGCACTTTTAAAAGGCTGTTACTGCTGTGTGTTTTGATAGAGCCATTAGATTTTTCAGATCTAAATTGTAGAAAGTAACAGTTTTCTTTTTTTCTGGGGGTCAGGAAGAACTGATACCTGACCTCTATGATGGTCTAGGCGCAGGACTGGAACATCTTTTAGACTGCATACAGAAGTCATCAAGGGATATGCAGGATGAACTCTTAAAATGGCATCCACAAAATGAGGTGAGAGAGAGCTTTTTAAATCATGCCATCTTTTTGGCACAAGGAGGGAGATATAGTTTTAGGCAGAAACCGATTTAATGTCTTACCCTGGATTTTATTTATGAAACATTGGCATATGTTAGTGGTTTTCCTATGTATATACGTATATTTATGTATGGTTACTCTGTGTTCGTACCTCCCTTCTCATATTATGACAGCTGTGCTGTTTTTGCTGTCACTTAAGTTGTTCACTTTTTAATACCAGAAACAGTTTGAATTAATGAAAGTACATTGAGAATTCAAAACAAAACGTATTTTCAATTATGTTTAACAGCTATGTGATTTTATTTTTAGAAGTATTTTTAAAGTTTCTGTTGACCCTCTACCACCTTTCCAGAAACACTGGATCATTAATTGCTCAAAAACTCTTCTCTTAATTGGTAACTTACAGCAACATAATAACCATTTTTATTGTGACAGCTGTTGAATTTAATTATAGTTTAAAGGTCTTTGCATGGAAGTACATACTGTATTCCAAAATACATAGGCCAGGATTGAAGAGGAACAAGCTTGTAGCTGAGTAGAAGTTATAATTTCCCCCTTTGAACAGCTGACTCCTTCCTGCCCTGCCATGGCATATGGTGTCATAAGCAGCTTGAGAATGGCCTGCCAGTTTCCAGAGCAGCATGCTACATGGCATAGGCTGCTTGAAAAGAAATATGCTTTAAATGGTTCTTAAAAGCACAAAACTCCAATATATTAAATTATCTTAGTTGGTTTGTAATTATCAAATTTGCATTAAAGTATGTAGAAAATGCTTCTTTAAAAAAGTAAAACTATATTTAAGACACATCCATTGTGTGTATGAGTCTGCATTAAGGGTGTGCAAATTTTTTTTTTGAGATTTTTCAAGTCCACGTGTATTAGACCCGAAAGATATTGGTATTTCCCAATGTTTCTGAATCCCAATACTGGTATGGTATTCAGATTCGGGATTTTTTTTTGCTCCGTTATACCCTATAGGGACCATTATAGTAAATGGTCCCCATAGGGTATAGTGTGGAATCGATCTGGGGAGGCTGTTTTTGAGGTCGAGGCACTAAATTTGTGGCATAACTGCTGGTGCCTCTCCTCAAAAGAACTCCCAAGTATCAAAAAGATTGGACCAGTAGGTTTTATTCTATGGCCCCCAGAAAAAGTTCCAATGGAGGGGGAAAAAGACATTCAAAGCGATCATGGGCCCTTTAAACACCCTCTGCCAGCTCCGAGTGAACTCGGAAGGCATTTAAAGGGACTGAGAGCCCTTTAAATGCCCTTTAACTGTGGCTATCTGGCATTCCCAGGTAATCTCAAATATTTTCGGGATTATGTGGGAATAGCTATATTGGATAGCCGAAAAGAGACTCTGATCTGTATTCAGCTGAGAAAATACCCCCAAAATCACTTTTTCAGGTATTTTTTCCGGCTTGGATACAGCTGAATGCACATTCCTAGTCTGTATATAATCTTTAGAAAATGACCACCAAAGCTATAATCAGTTTTCTGTAAACTGAGGGCAGTCTTGCTGTTTATGAACCTGCACTGTAAGTATATGAAGAAATACAAGCAGGGGAAAAGGATAAACTGAAAATAGGGTAGAGGTGAAATTGGGGGCAGATGTTTTTCACAACCATCTGCACTTTAACAAAAAAATATATTTTTTTTTGAGGCAGCAAAATCACAAAAGCGAAGTGTCCATAATTTCAATTTTGGTTATCATTTGGACTGTGTTCGTTTTAACATTATCCTGCTCCCCTATCTGCCAAAATTAAAACTTTCATTATCTGAATCTAATAAACTGTGTCGGACACAATGAATCAGATCCTAAGAACAGTGAGCACAGCACCGTGAACAGAGCCCCCCCCCCCGAAGCCCATGAGGACCAGTGGACCCTTAGGGAGGGTATGGAGTACGACACGGGGATCTGCAATGGGAGATGGGAATTGGTGGAACATTTTTCTCCTGCATTCATGCAACACATGTGAATGGAAAAGAAGAAGAAGAGATTGGATTTATACCCCGCCCTTCACTACCCAAAGGTGTCTCAGAGCGGCTTACAAACTCCTTTCCCTTCCCCTCCCCACAACATACACCCTGTGAGGTAGGTGGGGCTGAGAGAGCTCTTGACAGAAACTGCTCTTTTTCAAGGACAGCTCTTATCAGAACTATGGCTTGCCCAAGGTCATCCAACCAGGTGCAAGTGGAGGAGCGGGGAATCAAACCCGGTTCTCCCAGATTAGAGTCCACGCACTTAACCACTACACCAAACTGGCGTTAGGAGTTAGGATCCCACCCAATGTATAAAAAAAATTATTTTTGTCATGATCAAGCTTTATTTCTGATGGTTTTGTCACTATCAAAACAATATGGCCTGGTTCATAATACTGGGTGATGTAAATATGCTCTTCACGGTGGTAGAGTGGATCATGGGGAAGTTCACGTGTCTGTTGATCTAATGTCTGTGACTCTCTGACATAATTAGATGTTGTTAGGTGACCGGTGTGGCCTCTCCTCTGCAATCCAAAGATCATGTCACCTGGTGTGTGTGAACCAGGAGAAGATTGATGTGATTAACTGTATTGTGCACAATTGAACATGTTTAAACACATTCTAAAAATGGTTTCTTTTCAGGTTCAGAATCAGCTAAAGAATAAAACTATAGTTTTGGCTGACCTCCTTGAAAAGATCATATCTGATTGTAAAAAGGTAAATGGAAATCTTTCTTAATAACATTTTTCACTTGAGCTTTCCCAGAGTAATGTTAGCTACTCATTGGAATGGCATTCCATTAACTATTACTGTGGTAAGCGTAACATTTTCCTTAGATTCTCTGGGCTATGAGCAGTAGCTAATCCTTCCTTTCAGGCGCGTACATGTATGATATGCATATTTTCCAAATATCTGCATTCATGCTTTATGCATGTAAAATCTTAGGTGTATGCCTGAAAATGTAAATGGGGTGAAGATGCTGTTATTGTAAGCATGCTACATTTATGTAGCTCTTTAGATATCAATGCAGCTCAAGAGTATCTGAGGAACAACCATTTAGCACTATGATGCCTTAATTTGATGGAAGTTGTTGTACTCTCTCTCATCTTCTGAAAATTTGTACAAATTAACACAGAAAGAAATAGCTTTATTAAGGAGAGAAGAACCTGTCGATCGGGAGGTGAATAAAGCAACCAGTAAAGCTGCCAAATTGTTGGAGTTTCATCACTGTCTAGATCAAGTCTACCAGATGGTCACTTCTTCATTACAAGGTACTGTGCTTTGTTGCTGCTTCTTTCTCACCCTACAAAATCACTCTAAGGCTATGATTAAAGAGAAGACTGTGGTGGGGTCCTCTAGATTTGCTTTTAGATCTTTTCTCAGTGTGTTGACACCTTGATTGACTTTT